TCGTCCAGGGCTTCTCGGGGATGAGGTTCCTCATCCAAGCTTCTCCTTCTCCAGACACCATGCGAAATTTCCGCCCATGGACCAACGACTCCTCGCACCACTCCTGATTGCAGTCCTCCCCGCAAATGTGCACCCGCAGCATCGGTTGTGCTGCAGCCAAAAGATCCCGGAGGAGGCTCTCGCTCTGGGTGCCCTCTGCCAGCATGTTCAGGTACTTCTCGCCACCCTCCAGCACCACACATTTGATTTTCCCGGCTACCTTGATGGGCTCCTCCCAGTACACGCCGTGCACGATCTCGATCCTCTCCATGCGAGTCCATTCTTCCACGGCCACCTGATGAAGAGGCCGCCCAAGCTCCCCCCTAGCCTCAGCTTCGGGAGCAAAAAGTGGGACCGCCTCACCGGCGGGTCTCCGAAGAACCCCCCTTCGAGGAAGGCCTCGCGCAGGAAGGGGTTTCGGCTTTGGGGCCAGGCGCCATCCTTCCGCAACTTTTCCCATTCGATGTCGAGGGCCTTCTTTGCCGAAGGGTAGTTGCAACCTCCGAGCGGAATGAGACGAGCAACTGCGGCAGTCATGATCAAACGCGGTGACGAGCTCTTCCCTCTTTCTCTCGACTTGATGTGCTTCTCAATAACTGCAGCCACGCATGTTCGATGTTCTTCAACGGTCTTTCCAGGCTCATTGACAACCGGCATTGCTGGAATAATCGGCTCAGGCTTAGAAGATGAACTGGAGAATATAGCAACAGCTGCCGGCGACGGGAGCTTGTCACTTGCGCCCCCTGACCATGAACAGCGTGAATGGGGTGAACATGGACGGCCGGCGCGGCGACATCAGCTTTAACATCCTTCAACTCCTTCTTCTTCTTCGCCTCGAGCTCTTTGCGAGACTCTTCAGCAATGCGGGCACGTTCTTTTGGAGATGCCAACTGCGCATATCCGGAGGGATACCTGGTGGACGACTAGATTTGCGATCAGGGTCATGTTCAGCAAGGCCCTCAGCGGGCGCAGGTTGCCTCGTTCACTTCCTGACCAGGTTGGCTGCAATAGCTCAGAATTCCGGTTCCTCACTGGTTTGGGCAGGTCGTCAGCAATGACCTTTCGCGCAGGGAACACGAAGGTTTCGGCCAACAAACTGAACTCGAATTGCTTCACCCTCAATGGGGTTATGTCGTTGTTTCAAATCTTGGGTGGCAATACCAAGAGCTCACGGGCGTAGGTAAATCCAGGCCGCAGCGAAAATACCTTAGTCAAAGCTTGGCAGAAACTTGGACTGCCTGCTTAGAGAAAACGCATGTGTTGAGCAGCCAAAGGCTAAAACTCAACCGGTAACCCACTTTGAAAAATATTCGCCTTTGCTCCCTCCAGAATCGTGCGGATCTCGCGCTGGATGACTCGCGAAGATTGGCTGACCTAAGGCTGACTGAAAACATGCCTCCAGCCCATGCTTTCAATAGCTGCTGCAATTTCCCCAAAATTGTCGGAATAGATAATACTAACGGTATCATCAGGCTTCATGTGGTGCATAAAAGCATCGACACAACTGTCTGCATCCCATCATGCAGAAGGATAGAAATAGCTAAACTGCGTGAACACGTCCTTGGTGACAAGTGCATTCCACTCACCCTTGAATGCATACGTTTCATGATTTGATGTAACATGGTCCGCGGTCACGTGATCCCCGAACACCTTTGCCTGAACGGATGAGGACCCGTGCCTACGTCGAGCCTGAGGTGCTTGCTTCTTGGCTCTCACATGTCTCACACAATGGATTCTTGGGCCTGTGAGTGAACAAATGCTTCGCGCATTTGCATTTCCTTCGGCTTCGGGCTCCTTTTCTTCATGAGCCTCTGCAACTTCAACTATCTCCTCGCGTTCCGGCTCAGGTGGATAATCATCATCGGGGCGAAATGGAAGCAACGCAACATCCGCCCCCCGCTTGCTTGAGGACGAAGACTCTTCTGCACCCCCGATTTTCTGCAACAGGCATCGCTGACGTGGAGGCAATAACCTCACTCTCATCATCCGGAACTCGCCCATCAAGCTTCACGATCACCACCTTCGCCGTCAGGCCGCACAAAACATGGTGCATTGCACTTTCTCCACGCAAAGTCATATCCCTGATCAAGGCGTCTTTGACCAACAGAAAGAACAGCCGGTGTACTCGGCAACACATACGGGGTGATAATTTCACTTGATTGATCAATAGAGAAATCTGCAATCTTGTCCGCAACGATTGAACAATTCGCTCTGGAAAGGCTGATCGGATCAGACGCCAAAATGATCTTCCTTCGAAGGGTAACAGCGCGATCCGTACCGACCAAACCTTGCTCGCTGCCTGTGTCAATGATCCATTGGTGAAGTCCGGCGGGCGCAGGCATAGCAAACTGTTCTGAACTCTCACAGTCATCATCTTGCCAGCATTCCGGACAAAACAGACCAGTTTACAGCATAGCATCCGCACAGGTATTCGCATGGAACCTCAAAACCAGACAACATAAGCCCGATGAATCCTTGCAAAACCAATGCTCTGTCTATGGCATCGTGGGGCTTGGCAGCACAAGGCAATCATTGTTCTTCAGCTTCAATCTCAATGATCTCTCCATTTTCGAACCGCACACACCTGTCTGCACTGCGACCAGTTGCATTGTACACTTCTCATCAGGATCTGCCCAGAAATCACCGAAAACCATCTCTTTTCCATTCAAACATTTCCAAGGAACAGGAAGGTCGTTCGACACATGGTGCCAGATGATCATCTCATGCGCGGAGTCAACTTCCCAAAAGTCTTGCGTGGGCCGGCATGCCGCGAGGCATGCATGAATCCCCTGTTCACACAGAAACTGCTGCAGGGGCTTAGCCCTTCTTGCTCTGGGAACGCCTTCTCCCTTCCCCTTTTAGAGTGGGAGGCCTTCCTCTGCTTCTCTTTCTCGGGCTTTGCCTGTCGGTTGCGGGGGGGCGGCGCTGACATCATGCGAAAACGCACACTTTGCGCCTCTTGTGCCATTCCCTTAGCCACTTGAAAGAATCGGCACGGGATCTTCTGCAGCTCCGCTCTCTTTCTCGAAGCTGACCGATCTCGATCCCGACCTTCGCTGTCATAGCGCCCCCGACCTTTTCCTTTCGGATCTTGGCTTTGGGGTCGTTCATCTTTTGCACGCTGGTGCCGACAGTTCTCACGAGTGCGATTGCCTCTCTGGAAATCAGAGAGATATTTTGTGGCAGACGGATCACGTGCTCGAGCTGGATCACTAGGAGCAGGAGCGCCTTCCTTCTGACTGTGTGCTCGTGCAACTCTTTCACGGCTGTCTTGTATCCAGGTCATTCTTGGTCTTCTGGCATCCACAAATCTGTCGCAAAAAGAAGTCTTTTGCTGCTCCGGCACAATCTTCACCAGTTATGAAGAAAAGATACCAAATCGTTTCCATCAAGCACCACTTTGAGCAAATCTTCAGTGGAATGCAATGCCCCCACCTCCTCATTTGTCCTGAAATAATTGTCTGCCACGGATTGCATCAAATGGGGGGAAGACGTCATGCAGGGCCAGTTCAAATGTCACCGCTGTGGGCACGGCTTTGTGGAGGGCACGGACATTCAGCATTTCTATAGCGCCAAGCGTCGCACCAACATGATCGAGGAGTTTTGCGGCCGGTTGAACAAGTTGCTTGATGAGCTGAACATTTCCGACTCCGGGGCTATACGGACGTGTCCAAGCGAGGGGCGACCTCGATCGAAGCCAAAATGGCCGACTCCCAAGAACTACGACCAGCGTGCGAGGAAACCCATGAGGGAGTCATCGACAAGGATTCAACGTTTGCCCTTCGCATCGTTGGGCAGGGCCACACTTGAGACACACTCTATCAGATGTCTCTCTACAAGTACTGCATTCTTCCTGAGTTTCCTCGAACGCAGGACCAACGGCTTGTCGGAGTTGAAGGGCCGTCTTTGTGAACCGCCGCAACTCCGTTGAGCTATTGACGCTGCAGAACGCTGAGCCAGAAGCTCCTGAAGCAGTTCATCAGCCAGGTCAATGTGCTTCCCGGGATGCGCCATATCCTCACCTTCAGTCAAAAGTTCCCAAAGCTTCCGGGCAACCGGAGCCGCAGAGCTGGAGGCCGAGATCAAGGAGATATGCGAGGAAGCACGAGCTGCGGCCAAGCGTCAGGCACGCCAAAGCGCTGATGCCAGCTCCTCTGCTCTTCGTGCTGCGATCCCGAAGGCCAAGCGCAGCTCATCTTCCTCGTCCCGACCTGCTCGTTGCCACACAGTCAACAGCAGGACGGGGACTGGGGCAATTGGAGCTTGAGCTCATGGTCGTTCAGGGGATGGTCTTCGAGCGGGAGATGGTGAAAGCCAAGATTATCGCAAAGGGGCTCACGTGAGAGACGCAGTAGTTTAATGATGTTCGAATATGTGCTTTTCCTTTTCATGGAATGTACAGATGCTAAGTTCTGTAGGGAACTCTTAAGCGGGTTGCAAAACTTGCCGTAGCATCTTCAATCTGCGATCTCATATGAGGCGGGGTGTGGAAAGCAGTTCCAACCCTTAGCGCCTGTATACATTGCTCAAGACAGCGCGAAAGAGTTGTTAGCGGATTTGTGCGCAGGGTTTCCACCGTAGGTGGCCTCGGCTTGGTATCACAGCCTAGCGTTGTTGGTGGCCCCGGCAAGTTGCTAGATTCCAAACGGGGCTCGCCATCCCGTTCACGGAGGGCCTGGTTTTCAGATCCAAAGGTGGCGAATGGCCCTTGCCCTCGGCCTCGCAGACAGGTAGGACGGAAAGAAAATGAAAGAAAGACAGAGAGAGAGAGAGAGAGAGAGAGAGAGAGAGAGAGAGAGAGAGAGATTCACAGATAGACAAACATATCGGTGGTTGGGCCATCACTCTTTCGGAGCCATTGGCGGCAAACTCATCTGCACAGTTGAAGTTGGTGAATTGCTTCCAACTACTCGGGGTCAGAACCGCCCCAGTCTCAAAGACTCGTTGCATTCATGCTTGTCAGCTCAAGCTTGTCACTTGTTGTGCACTTCCAGAACCCATGTTCTGGGTGGTGGTCCTGTTGCTGGCCAGTGTCCATGCCCAGACCTGCAACAGCACCGAATGTGGCTTGATGGCTATTGGATCCTTAGACTTCACCTTTTAGGAGTAGGAAACCAAGCTGGTTTTCCATTGAACTTTTTCCATGGAACCCAGAAAAAAGTGACTTTTTGGTGGAGGGGTCAGCAGCAACCGAGGCGAGGACTCGGCGCTGTTAAGCCTCCGGTCCGGGCCGCGGTCCCGCCGGTCCTTGCTGAGCCGTCGCGCGCGACTTGATGGATCGGACTGCGCGTACTGCATGTGCCTAGAGACGGACGCAGTGAAATGTGGTGAGCAGATGGTGACCAGCGCGGAGGAGTGTGGAGAAGACACTGTCACAAGTGCAGAACAGTGTGGCCAGAAGTGGGTGACAAGTGAAGAAAGATGTGGCACGAAGGTCGTGACCAGCGCAAGTGCATGTGGAGAGAAGTCCGTGAAAAGTGCCAGCCAATGTGGAACATCACTCACAAAGGTCTGCAAGGCCAAGAAGAATATCCACGTGTCCTGTGGCTGGAAGAAGGTGGCCAAGAGTTGTAAGGTCCCTAACTCCTGCTCCGTGCCTGCTTCGTGTTATGTGCCCAACACCTGCACGGTGCCGAAGAGTTGCCTGCAGGCCTTGACCTGCTGGCTGCCGGTGGGGTTTCTGGAGTGCGCGGATGTCCTGGGAGACGAGCTCCCGAAGAGCGTGAAAGGCGATTGGAAGAAGTACGTGACCTCCTCGTGCTCCAGCCTCACCGGCTGCAGCAAGAAGGCCGCCCATGGCATGGCCGACGTGGTGCAGGACGGATGGGACTGGATGCGCAATGGCTTCGGGAAGGCCTGGGACGAGGGCAGCGAGAAAGTGCTGGGCGGCATCGACACATTCGAGGCCATGATCGAGAAGCTGGACCTGGAGAAATCGGTGGTGATGGTGAAGCAAGAGCTTTTGGACTTGATGCATGACGTCGAAGATGCCATCGATCAACTTGCCGATGGGCCCATCCAGCTTGCAAATCGGCCTGATGGCCAGCTGTGCCCCGCTGCTTTGGGGGATGACAAGCTCTTCGGGGTTTTTCCCACCGACTGCGGGGTCTTTGACGAGATGTCGGAGCTTTTGACTCCGCTCCCGACCTCCAGCTCCGACCTCAGCTATCTCACGGACAACAAGGCGGATGTCTTTGAGAAGGCTCTTGCGAGGGCCAAGCAATGCCTCCTGCTCAGCGGCCCTTGGAAATGGAAAGGTCGGGGTGCATGAAGAATCGTGAATGGGCTTCAAAAGACAAGGGCAAAAAAGCTTCAGAAGACGTGTTCTCAACGGCGCCAATCGTTTCAATGTTTAGACCTAAATCGGGCGAATCTCGGCCGACTCGGCGTGGTTCCTTGGCAGGTGTCTCGATGCCCCATCCCTTCTGGGACTTGGGCAAGAAGGACTTGTGCCTCTCCAAATCCCTGGTGGATGCTCTGGATGTGGTGGTGAACCTGATCTACAAAGGCGGGGGCAAAAGAAATGCGGGGCGGCTGAGACTCCAATGAAGCATGGCTTCTGAGAAGCAAATGTAAATCGTTTGGCATGTTGAATGCGCCAAATGCTACAAATATGGCTGAGCTACCCCATGGGCGGTAGAGCCAGCGGCTTGTGAGCCCGGACGCGTGAGGTGGGAATGCTGCGTACAACCTATTCGACACCATTGCCAATAAGGCGCCCGGCCCAAAACCAATCTTTTCAAGAGGCCAAACGGGGAGTGGCCTCAATCCGACGGACCTTTTCAACCAGGGCAGATGAGAAGCTTTGCTAATCATGCTGGGGCATGGGGTTTCACCGCTTGCGTTCGCATGTGTTTTTTGGGGGAAATTTCTGGAAGCCTCCAAACTCTGCGGTTCTCAGGTCACCGACTGGACCAACAAGAACCTCCTCAGCGACCTCTCGCTGCTCAGCCTGGAGCAGCGCCGCTCACTGCCGTTGATCCTCACCCAAAAGGCGAAGTGCGTCAAGGGGACGAAGGATTGGAGCATGAAGGTGAAGTTCACAGGCATGGCTATCCTGAAACCTGAAAAAAGAAAAGACAAAAACAGCTGAATAAGAAGGCGGAGAAGCGATGGAATCCTCTTTGACTCTTTGGCTTCAGGTGAGATATGCGGTTTCCGAACCGTGATGGCGGTAGAAATCATGAACCCTGAAGTGAACCATGTGCTCTTTTTTGTGCTTGGGGGACTGCTGAAGAAAAACTATGCAACAACAACATCCTGGTTAACCCATGGCTTTTGAGGAATGGCAACTTTTAACCTTGCAGGCAAGTACTCCTTTGCCGTTTTGATCGGGACCAGCAAGATCATTTGGTCCTTTGGCCTGGGTGCTGGGGTGGTCTTTGGCTGTCAGAATGAGACCTACAGGAGAGCCATCAGCCATGCCTGGTGTATTGTTAAAACCCCGGATAAACAAACCTTGGGCTGACTAGTGACCCCAGATAAATAAACGCTTCCTCTCAATAGGGTTCCCTCCCAAAGTGACCTGGTTCCCCACCAAGCCCAGGGAAATGCCCTATATATAAGCTGGAGTTGATTTGTCAACGTTACCCACACCAGAACGGCACAGATGGGTCCACTGTGGCTCTTGGGCTGCTTCTCCGGCCCTTTCTTGCGGCTTCCTATGTTTCTTCTTTCGGGATGTTCCCTGTCTTAGGACACATCACATCCATGAGAAAAGTCGCTGGCGGGCACCGCGGCCAGCCGTGCAGCAGCCTGCCAGGACCTACCCCGTCATCGACATCGCCCATCCCTTCCTCGCCATGTTCGCCTTTACGGAGACGGAGGCGACCACGGACTTCTCCGCCTCAGGGGGCCTGGCCTTAAGCGCCAAGGCGGGGGGGCAGTGGGAGCCACAAGCATGATACATATATAGGTATGTATGGCATGTTAATATATAGATATATATGTATATTTAAATATAATTGATTTGCTAGAGTATTAAGGGATATATATATATATATAGCCGCCGCCTTGGTGACTCTTTGCATGGTTTTGGGTTTATCGGAGTTTTGTACCGGGTTTTGGCTCAAATGGGGTGATGGCCTTGTGAATGATTCGTGACTACCAACGAGTACCCATTTGCCCACTAACATAGGAAACTGGAAGTTAAATTTCCTGTTTAAGGGGCCCTTTGTAGGGTGGCATGTTAGTGGGAGGGAGGGAACGGAGTGATTGCCGAACGCGATTCATGATGTCGTTGATTTGCCAAGAGTCGTTGTTAGTTACTGACGGCCAAGAACCCATTATGCAAGCGTACTTTGCAACGCGTGCGTATATTGATGTATATTCCAACTGTTTCTCAGGTTTTGCCACCCTAAGCCTTTGGTGAAGCCAGTTTTTCACAGAGATTGACTTCAAACCCCATAGACAATTCCCTTTGTGGTGGTTTTGCTGGAAAAACAGATGGCGATTCCTGGTTTTTACCTGGTGGATTTTGTTCATCTGGGGAAAACCCCATCTATTTCCCTTGCAGGCACAGCTATGGGCGAGCTTTGGTGGTTTGATCATCCAGGAAAACCCCTCTATTTTTGTCCCAAAAGGACGGGCGAGCTTTCTTCGCCAGGCCTTCTTCACGCAGTTCTCGTCCTTCACGGGGCCCTACTCGGGCTCGGTGAACCTGGGGCTCAAGGTGGCGGCCAAGAATCTGCCGCTGCCCTGCCCGCCCGAGGTGAAGTGCAGCGCCAAGCGCAGCTTCTGGGCTGCGATTGGCCCCTAGGTGCCCTTTCTCTCCGTTTCTTTTTTGGGGGAGGGTTCAAACCTACCAAAGGACTGCAGAAAAAGTTGGTACCAACTTATTCTTGACTGCTATTGGCTTCCGTTTGCCGAAATGAATAGTTTTTTTCTGATTTTCAACCTGTCGGTTTTAAAGTCGGAACCTATCGCTACTGGACATATTTTTTTTTTTCCAGGGGGCGTTTCTGCTCATGGCAGTTGGGTAACGGATCTTTAGGCTTTCACTTTTTGGTTGAAATCATTTGGGGTTTTAACCACTAAACCCCCCGAAAGTGAAACACTTTTTGCAGGGGGGGCGTTGCAGCAACCCAGGTTTCAGCTTGTTGAAGATCCCCTCGGGAGAGCTCATCGAGTTGTCCGACACGGATGACCTGCTGAACATGCTGGTCTACCAGCAGGAGCTGGAATTCGCGGGCAAGTATGACGACGTCTCCGGCTGGTTCACCTCCAGCGGCCTGCTGCAGGGGGATTTCCGCTCGGATCCTCATCTGCCCACGCGGCTGGTCCTGGGCGCGTTGCACCACCTGGCGGCCTCCGAGATCCAGGTGAGCGTGCTCAAAACCGATTCGGGCAGATGAAGGTTAAGGGACAATCCCAACCATAGCTGCGGAGATCCGCCTTCTTAATTCTTGAAGCATGGTTCTGGGGTTGCGACCATTTTTCTACCAGGTTTTTGATTGTGACTCAGGTGCCCAAAGCGGTCCTGGACGCGGGCGTGCACGCCACGCACGAGCCCGTGAGCCTGTCCGAGCTGCAGAGTGCCCAGGCACGGCTTTCAACCGGAAGGCGCCCGCTTTTCCGATGGTTTCGGAGGGCCATTTGTTTAGCTTTATTTTTTGATTTTGTTTTTTTAGGGCGGGTGGCGGGTGGTTTTTCGGTTTTTCAAGGAAAGGACAAACCGAAACGGGGATTGAAAGCATCGAGATCCACAACAGGTCCTTTTTTTTGGATAGAATTTGAAGGGAAAGCCAAAAGGAACGTCGAACTGGAGGGTCTCTCAGACCCGGAACTGGAATCTGAGAGGCGGAACAGGCGGAATCTGAGATCGAGCTCGAGGGGTCTGTGGGCATTGCAGCCTCCTGGAGCATCTGCGTGGGTCCTTGGAAGAAGTTGTGCGGCTGAGGCGGAAGTCGGAAGGGCTGACGTGCAAGCTGCACGTGGCCACTTCTGGAGAGTTTAAACTCTGGATTAAACTGTGGATTGATAGGGGTTCCAAAAAAAAAACGAAAACAAGGCCCCCACCCAAACCTTGCTTTGGAATGAGAACCATGGAGAGGGATACCTGTAAATATGGCGCTGCTTAGCCAGCCATCAATGGTACCATTTCAATGGCAAAGCCCATGGGATGGCTTAAGATGCCGCTTTGCTTGCCTCCGGAACGATGGCCGACAATCGGCCCCGCCCAGAGATGTTGAGGAGAAAGGCGCACCCAGCAGAATTCCATTCTTTAGCAACTCCACAGGTCTCCAGTTCCCTCGAATCTGACGGCCAGCCGCTAACGTTACTTAGATTTGAGGAATGGTTGGGGCCATTGTGCTTCGCTTTAGCAACGAACAACATGAAGAGCAAGGGGCGAGCCAGGAGATGCCCCGCCAAAAAAGGAAGGAATTTTCAGAGCGGGCTGGCAAAACACGAGCTCCACGTTCATTGCGTGCCGGGCAAGCGGCACGTGCAAGTCAGATGCTTTTCGGAGTTTTCCAAGAATGGCACAAGCAACAGGCCATGGGCCCTTGGCAACTAGGCTGCCAATGATTGCGAGCGATTTTGCGTCGAGTTGTGATGGGCTTGCAGACAGGTTCCAAGATGTGAATTGACCCGCCCCGCTGCTTTTGCCCCAAGAACCTCACGGCGCGTTGGTTTGTGAAAATTGTATCCATGGCTGGCACCGCGGCACGCCAGAAGCTGGCTTGGGCGCCTCGGCTTTCAGCTGAGCGCTGAGAGGACAGCGCGCCTAAGCTTGTGAGCCCAAGCTCAAGCCGGAGACCTTCATGAAGTGTTGGCTGGTTGGTTTTGCCGCCTAGTCAGGTGTCTGGTTGCCGCACTGGTTGCATGCGTGAGGCTTTCATCTTTCTGCTGGCGGCGCGGGAGGTGTCTGCGGCCCGGGAGATTTACCGTACGGCCGAGCTCAGCTCCCTGCAGGCGAACGTTTTGGTTCTGATTGCTATCTACAGCCCGTTTGGCTGAAGTGCTCAGACACCTCTCAGTAGTTGTTTGGCTGGGTAGGGGTGCTCAGACACCTATAGTTTGTGTTGTTGCGTTGGTAAAGGTATGTTGGTTCATGTTCACCCCTGAATTCGCCCCTGCGGATTAATACGGGGGGTGTTCGGGCGTTCCCCTCCAAAAGTCTGAGCCCCCACCAAACCCAGGGAGCAGCACCCTATGACCAAACTGGGGTTGATGCCAAAAGAACACAAATCGGGCGAGTCCACGTTTTGAAGGGGCGCCCTTGGAGCCTCGGTGCGCGTTTCGTTTCGCCAGGCCGCGGGGCTGGGCCGCGCCGGGGAGGACTTCCGGCGCGCGGCGGCGGTGCGCGAGGGCGGGTCCTTCTCCGTCCGGACCAAGTGGGCCGTGGGGAAGGCGCCGCTCGGAAGGGGAGGGGGGGGAGGGAGGGGGGGAAGGAGGGGGTGGAGGGGGGGGGGCAGGGGGGGGGAGGGGGAGTTTTTTTTTTGGGGGGGGGAAGTGATTTACATCAGGTAATAATATTATCTTTTGGTCTGCTTTTAGGTCAGACATCCAAGATTGGTTTGGATTGGGGGCTTGTGGAATCGAAGCTTCTTGCGGGAGAATGGGAAACCCCGGAAGACCAACAAACCAAGCCACCAACTAGAGGGAAGCTGATTAGGTTCGTTGCGGCCTGGTTCGGCCGCATTTGGTGCGAAAACGAGCTCGGTGCCACACCAAAGTCGTTTTTGCTGTTTCTTTCTGTCTCTGTGTCTGCTTCTGCCTCTGTCTCTGTGTCTGTCTCTGTTCTGGTCTCTTTTGGTCTCTTTGTTTCTGCGATTTTCTGCGCCTATGTGTCTCTTTGTGTCAACTCTATCTCTCTCTCTCTCTCCCTCTCTCTCTCTCTCTCTCGCTTTCTCGCTTTCTCTGATTCTCTTGCTCTTTCTCTGTCTTGGGCATCCTCATGATGTTGTGCTCCTGTGTGCGATGGTTTTTCTCACTCATGCACTGTGTTGCAGTTTTTTCACAGGAGGTGGCTGGGTGCAGAGCAGACGTTTTTCTTGCCTGGGCGCATCTCTTGTCGTCAGTATGGGCCTTGCTGTGCTCCCTGCTGTGCAGCTTGAGAATTCGCGGCCAAGGTGGCCAGGTCTTTGTGGCTCTCCGTGATGGAGGGAGCGGTACATTGCTCTTAAGCCCGCGGCGCGCTTTTATAGAGGTCTGCTGCACAGTTTGCTCTTGGTAGGGCGTTTGGTCTTTCTCGTTTGCTCTCTCTCTCTCTCTCTCTCTCTTGCTTTATTTGTCTTTGTCTCTGTCTCTTTCTCTCTTTCTCTTTCGTTTTCTTTTTCTCTGTCCGTCTGCCTTGCTTGCCTGCCTTGCTTGCCTGCCTGCTTGCCTGGCTGTCTGTGCCTGTCCGGCTCTCTGCCTCTCCCTGCGCGGGGCCAAACGGGAGGAGGAGTGCTCGTGGTCTAAGGTCATCATTACACTGGTCGGATTCAACCATTACCTTCAGATATGTTGATGGCGACACGTCTGCCCATGAGCCACCAACATACATAGAGGTGGATGGTTTGGACACAAAGTATCGGCTGATGCCAGACGGGGTGGTGATGATGAAGGACATCCATGGAATGGACACTGTCAGCATTGTCGGGTGGCAAGCCTACGAAGGCGGCAAGTGGGGGGACACCAAGTACGCAAAGGATGAGGCCTTGTACTTCCGCGCTGACGACAACCCCGCCGTGGGCGAAACCAAATCCAATTGGCGCGGCCGCTCGGTGGGGCATGTGGTCTACCAGGGTCACGGCCAGCTCTACTTCTTCAACAGCAAAGGCGTCCAGAAGGTCATCGAAGCGGGCGAGATGACCGCTTACCCCGAGCCGCTTGCGCAGCACTTGCAGCTGCAGATGCCCGGAGGCGAGGCGAAAACCTTCAGCAAGCCGGACCGGGACCTCACGCTCCTGGTTGACGCCATGTTGGGCGAGGCCTCCTGCATGGCCAAGAGCAGCAAGTGTGCCTTCCGGTGCTTCTACGACCCTGACAAGGACGTTTGCGGGCCCACGCCCTTCTGCCAGAAGGTGGCCGAAGCTTACTTGGCGTTTTTATGTCTTGGCGTGTTTTTTTTTTTTTTTGTGTGTGTGTTTGTGTTTTTTTTTTTGGGGGGGGGGGGTGCTGTTATTTTGGCGGGGGGGCGCCAGAGCAAGGGCAAAAGCAACCTTGTCAAACGCAAGTGTCCCCCCTCAAGCTCAACGCGGTCCCCCCCATATTAACCAACCCCAGTGTGTCAATTTGGGGGTGTTCCCCTCCAGACGTATATAGGTGGAGGAGAGCGCGTCCCCGAGCATCTTGGCGCCTTTCGGGCAGCAGCAGAAGTGCCAGGCCGTGGGCGCACAGGAGAAGGAGGCCATTTCAAAAACGCTTCAGCATGGGCTCGACTCAGTGGAACGCCAAGCTACGGTGTTGTGGGATCACGAGGGGTTTATCCAACCACTGCGATTTTGGGAATCTCCCCATGGGGGGTTGGACGTCTTTGGGAAGCCCCTGTTGTTGCATCACGGGTTCCATTTCCCACAGCCCTGGTCCGACTTGATTAACGCATGGCGTCAAAACTAGGTTCCCAAAATGGGTTGCCCTGGTACATGGAATGGACGAAAACCTGCGGTTTTCTGGCTCAATTTTGACCCATACCCACTTTTGGTTCTCGTAGGGGGGCCGAAGCACTTGGGTCTTCCAGGCCGCAGACTTGGCGGTGAAGGCGGCCGCGGAGGATCTGAAGTCGCTGACCCTGGGCGTGATCGAGGAGCTGGAGGCCGCCCCCGAGATCAGCAGGGACAGCGCCGGCCGCGGCACCGTGAAGACGACGCTGAAGCTCTACGAAAAGGCGGGCAGACTTCCTGAAAACGGGAGGGGCAGAGGGAAATGGTGCGAGGTGTGGGATGGGTCTCCTTCTGGTGGGACTGGTTGCGTTTTTTTCCTCTTTTTTTTTAAAGAAATAAAATAAACACACACACAAACACACAAACGCACAAACACACAAACAAAGACACAAACACACAAACACAGACACAAACACACAAACACACAAATAAAGACACAAACGCACAAACACACAAACACACAAACAAAGACACAAACAAACACACAAATAAAGACACAAACACACAAACACACAAACAAAGACACAAACCAAGACACAAACACACAAACACACAACCACACACACACACAAACACAAACACACAAACACACAGACAAACACACAAATAAAGACACAAACACACAAACACACAAACAAAGACACAAAGACACAAAGACACAAAGACACAAACACACAAACACACAAACACACAAACACACAGACACAATCACACAAATAAAGACACAAGCACACAAACACACAAATAAAGACACAAACACACAAACACACAAACACACACACACACAAACACACAAACAAAGACACAAACACACAAATAAAGACAGAAACACACAAACACACAAACAAAGACACAAAGACACAAACACACAAAGACACAAAGACACAAGCACACAAACACACAAACAAAGACACAAACACACAAATAAAGACACAAACGCACAAACACACAAACAAAGACACACACACACAAATAAAGACACAAACACACAAACACAAAAATAAAGACACAAACACACAAACACACAAACAAACACACACACAAACACAGACACAAAGACACAAAGACACAAAGACACAACGACACAAAGACACAAAGACACAAAGACACAAAGGCACAAAGACACAAAGACACAAAGACACAAAGACACAAAGACACAAAGACACAAAGACACGAAGACACGAAGACACGAAGACACGAAGACACGAAGACACAAAGACACAAAGACACAAAGACACAAAGACACAAAGACACAAAGACACGAAGACACGAAGACACAAACACACGAACACACGAACACACGAACACACGAACACACGAACACACGAACACACGAACACACAAACACACAAACACACAAACACACAAACACACAAGCAAAGACACAAACACAGAAATAAAGACACAAACACACAAATAAAGACAAACACACAAACACACAAACACACACACACACAGAGAGAGACTTGGCCGCGAGGCGTGTCACTGGATGTGTCACGCCGTCTCAGTCAGCCTGAGGCCGGCGCCCTCCTCAACGTCTGGGAGGCGCTGCCCGGGCGCCTGGCCCCGGAGGCCGGGGACTTCGCGCAGGCCGAGCAGCGCGTGGCGCTCACCGACATGAAGCACTGGCGCGGCCGGGCGGCGGCCCGGGAGAACAGGGGGTGACATCTGGAATTCCATTTAGGGTTCCATTTCCCCTTTTGTGGGGAAGACTGAATAAATGGAATTGTTGGACCCCACCTCTCTCCCCCTTAAGGTAGGGGGAATAACATGTGTCAGTTGTGTTTGCCTCTCATGATGTGAGACACGCGCGGATGACGCCTTCCCCTCATCCCGCCTTGTTCGGACGGAGGTTTTCTTCGACAAGTGAGGCGGCCCTCTTTCATTCCAAAGTGTTTTTTAGTGGGGCGCCTTGCGAACACTCTCCAACCGATATGCGAAAATGTCAGGGTGACTTGTGGAATCTTGTGCAGCGATGTTAGGGATGACCGTGGGCCTACCTCTGCTCAGTTGTCCAAAGCAAATGCAACTCACTTTGGTTCTTGATCGTCCTTGTCTTCGCCAACTTTTCGCAACCATTGCTCATCATTCCTTGCCAACACCCAACATGTTTGGCAGAAGGGGTGCTCAGACAACACAAAAGCAACACGCAGTCATGATGTTGCTCAGTTGCTTTTTTTTGGGGGGGTTATATCACAAAATCACAGGCTCCACAAACACCCACTCTCTTCCTTCCCCAGAATCAGCTCCCCCCTTCCTTTTTTTTGGGCTTTTTTGGGGTCCCTTTGTTTTCCACAGGCAAACATACTATTTCTTTGCTGGGGTCCCTGTTTGCAGCCTAGGAAAAGAGGAAGAATAGGAAGACCTATGAAGTAAATAACAAGTCAGGATCAGCCATCCACAAGGACCCGCTCTCTTGGGCGGATTTCTTGGCGCCCCGCCCCGAGGACCGGCTCACGGTCTCGGAGTACCGGGCCGCGGCGGCGCAGCCCAGCGCGGCGCTGAAGACGTCGACGCGGTACTCCGTGGCCGCCAAGCTGCGCCCCGCCGACTTTGGTTCCTTTCTCTCTTTTTTTTGACTGGCCAGTGTGCGCATTTCCTGTTTTACTACTTCTTTTTTTCGGGGGGGGGGGGGCCTTTTGTTTGGGGGGGGGGGAGTGGAAGGGGTTTGGGGGGAGGGGGGCAGGCAAAAGGGGTGGTTGAAACTCCTGGGTTTAAGTCATCTTGAGTGGTCAAAAAGCGGAACCCTGAACTTGCTGGTGGAACCTGGGGGTCCCTTGAAGGAAACCTCCATTTGGATGGTTTACAGGGGTCATTCCAGTTCTCATTCCCTGCCTATCGCGCCGGCAAACAAATGGGGAGCGGGTGTGCAAGATGTTCTGTGCCGCGTAAGGGGGGAGGGGTCGGCTTGCGAAATCAAGGCACAGCGAGCTCCGCGTGTTCATGCAGAAGCGGCCGGCGATCATGATCGAGTTTGCAAAGTCGGAGTCCAAAGGCAAGTGCCGCTTGTCCGACCAGACGACGGCGGGCAAGGCTTGCCCGCGTTCCAAAGCGGGATGCGGTGTCAGGGACGAGTATAGACCTATTGAAACCGTAGGGTGTGTGCCCACTTGCTGGCTGACCTCATGCTTGCCACACCCACGAGAGTGGCAGGAGCAGTTGGGCACCTTCCTGAATTACTTTATGCTCGTGCCCGGGTACAGCACGGAGGATGTGCATGACACGGATCTGGGCCTCCCGGAGCATTGCCAGGAGTTTATGCAGGGCATGTGGCGCGCGGACGTAAAGCGCACGGTGGCCAGGGCGGCGGAGCCTTGGCGGCAGTTGTACCTTTGCCCTTGGAAGCGGCAAGAGCGGTAGGATCTCGCAGCTGCCCGGCTGAGGAGTATGAGGCTGAGCTGGAAAAGGAGCCCGACGCGGGGAATTCTTCATTGGTCGAGGTGGCTGATGCCGCAGAAGGCGGCCAGGCGGCATGTGGCAGTTCAAAGAATTCCGAAAGAAGCTGCGCCGACTCTTGCTAAGGTGAGCGCTTCCGGACGGAGGGTGAGAACAGTGGCGAGACTGGCGCCGCTCATCCGCACGCGAAGCTGAACATCTTTTTTTTTGGGGGTCCGACCTTTCCGATGGGATCTGTTTTTCACTGAGGAGATCGGTTTCATTTTATTCTGCGTCGCGGTGTGCATCTTTTGCATGTGCTTCTCCGGCGTCTTGCTGAATGTGGCGGTGCGCAGTGTGCGCGACTGGGCAGATCCATACCGCAACACCCACGGCGCCTTCTTCAGCTTCTTCTTCGCCGCCTTGCTGGGTTGCATGGTACTTTTCGGCGCCTCAGCTGAAACTTGGTGGTTCCATCCACTTCCCGAATTAGGTGTTGTCCACCTTTTTGGGACCCGGTTTAGTGGCGGGACACTCCGAACTGAACCTAGGTCCTTTTTTTGTTTTCCCCTTTTTAGCTTTTTAGGACCCCGAACTTCACCCACCAAAAGTTCGTGCAATTCGCGCAGACCTGAAAAAAGAATGCCGGGCGCCCCGCTGGGTCTCAGCGAGGCGCCTTCGCCATGGCCACGCCCGTGGGCATCGCGGCCTTGGTGGGCGCCTTGCTGTGGGTGGGCTACATGAACGCGGACATGGTGACCCTCTTGGAGCTGAAGCCGGCGCGCCCAACGAGGCGCCGAACGGGGGCCATTGGGCATTTCCAAGAAGCCTTTGGCAAACGGTGGTTGGAAAGGATTTTTTTTGGGGGGGGGTTGGGGTGGTGACAGGGCGCCTGGTGGGTGGGGTGGCTTTGGCTTGTCCACATCCTCAGCATCACCAGTAACCCTCAGCAGCATCACTGCCAGAGTACGAGAGTAGTGTTTGTAACTCAGCTTGAACCGCACAAAACAATCCCTAAGACATAAACAAATCAATCCTAAACCAGCCCTAGGCCAAACCTAAACCCACCCTATTCCAATCCTACACCCATCGTAAACCCACCCGAAACCAACACCCACCCCGAAATCAACCCTAAACCATCTCCAAACCCATGGCTTGTTTTTTTTGCTTAAACTGGCTGACGCCAGTTTTTGTTGCATGGAAAAACGAGCAACGAGCAACACGCAACCATGTGCAACAATTTGAGCGATCGGAAGCTTGAGACGCCAAGGCCGCGACTTGCGGCCGCGGTGCAGCTCAGCATGTGAGCGCTCGAAAGCGGTTGCTTCCTCCCGTGCTCTCTCGTCAGCTTGTCTAGGTCCCCGAGCTAGGTGCCCTTTCTCTCCCCTTTTTTGGGGTTTTGGGTTCCCTACTCAAATAGACTATAGGAAAAAATCGGGTACCCCTATTCTAACCTCTCTACTGGAGGAGCTGTGGCGCCATGCCAAGTGTGCAAAAGGAGTGTTCTTCGCAAACAGATGCGAGGTTCAAGCTGGGTGCCTGCAGCCCATTTTGCTCCGCGCAACAGCGTGGCACTGCATGAGCTTTGTGCGCAAAGCGCAACATCGACAGCGTAGAGGATGATTCAACAGCCATAGCCACCTTGCAGCTGGCAGCAAGTGAAACTCAATGAAGCCTTGCTGAATGCGATGCGTTGCAATGGGTTTCCCTCCCAGGCTCGCGCTTCGTTATCGGGTCTTGTAGGTTTTCTGAGATGGCCCGTCTGCACAGTCCCCACAGACCCCTAGACCTGAAACCAGAAAACATGGCTCTTCAGTTTGGTTTCGGGCCGGGCATGTTGGATTCATGTCGGCCATATATTTTTGTGGATGGAGGTTCCACCCCCTCCATTCACCCCAACAAGGGGTTCAACCCTGGGTTCCCACTCTGCATTCCTTGAATGGAGAATCATCAGGCAGCAAGGAAGGTTCCTAATTCGCCTTTTGCAGAGACAAACGCCTCATTCCGCCAGGCTGCTGTTTGTTCTCCAGCTGGCTGGGACCTGAAATGGCCGGAAGCACAGCTCAGTGCCATTGAGCGACGTGTGTCAGGCTCACTCCCAGCTGCCCGGCCCTCAACCGTCGCTCCGCGAGAACGGGGCGCTTGCATCCGCGCAAGCGCGCGAATCCAACCTCCGGTTTTCGAGGAATGACCCGTGGCAGCTCTGCATCAACGCGCTGTGTCAGAGTCGGGCCCTCGATTCCTCGACGCCCGAGTTCTGGCTCGGCCGATTCTCTACTGCTATTGGGTTGGATCTTCAGACTTTAACTTTTTGGATACCCCTCATGTATTTTTCTTATGTTGTCCAAACTTGTTTTGGGAAAACTGAGATGTCATAGTGCCAAGTGCTGTTAACTCTCTTGATCTTGCTGGCACTCGGTTGAGTTGATCGTCTTTCTCGGGGCCATTTTGGCTCAAGTCCTTGGCTTGATCTCGGAGAACCTCGGTTTTGCCTTTGTTTTTCCCACCCTCCACTCCCTACCGACGGAGGAGATCAAAGAGGGGGACACTCTAGCGAGACCCCCCTCTAGGCTTTGTCACCCACCTGGACTGGTGCGGGCGGTGGACTGAGGCGGAAGTCCGCACCAAGGCTGCGGGAGATCTGGGTTTTGCGGACAAGCTCAACGGATATACCTCAGCCACATTGATTCTTGCTGGAGAACTCACTGGATGCCTTCAGGAGCCTCAAGAAGAGGAAGCTGAGAGAGCTGGAGATTTTTTGCGGTGGTGGATCACAGGGCCATGCTGGGCAGAGAAGATCGCAATCAGATGAGAGCGGCATACCAATTAAGGTTCGAAGGATAGGACCACATGCTGGGGGTGTTCAAGCGGATCCTCTTGATAGGAAGAGTTCCCGACGGGCACGCTGCTGGACCTCAACAAGGTGGTGGCTCTACACCCCAAGCCGGGGGAACTCAAATACCAGAGAAGGCAATCCAAAGGGAGTGGATCACTATGCAGCCTCCTCGGAGAAACAATGGAAGCGCATGCTGATGATCTCCCTCCTGATGGTGGTGGCATCGATTTCCTCCCCAGCTACCATCACGCTCACCAAGGATGAGCTGGATGAGTTCTATGACTACATGCTTGGCGAAGACGTCATGGGGAGGGAGCCACCCCCCAGTCTAGGTGTCATGATGACGGCTGAGCGCAAAGTCCAGGGTGACCCCGGTTCGATTGTCAATGGGTGCGGTTCGGTTCTTTTAGCATTGAATTGAATCTCTCAGAATTGTTATTCGGTTCTGGTCGATTCGGTTCCTAGGATTGTGTCGGTTCGGGCTCTATAGACTTTCGATTCCCACCCCATCCGGCAACAGTGTCACTACGGAAAGCCGCTCCATTTCCTGACACTAACTACCATTCATTCGCCTTCCGTACCAAGATCTAGTACTAAATATAGGATACACATATATTATGTTTCAGACCTCTTTCAGACCTTGCTCAGGCCACCATTCTGCGCAAGCCAGTGTGCGGCATGAAAAGAATTTCAGGCCCATATCAAAAATCCAAAGCAGATGTCCACAGCTGGCTGTGTGGGATGGGACGGCCCCCCCCGAATCTGATTTCAATTCTGTCAGGAAACAGCATGGCGTGTCCGGAAAAGTCCGGAACAACTTGGCACCTCCCCTGGCTCGGCGCCTGACTGGCAGCCGACGCAAAGCAAATGGCCGCAGCATGAGATGGGACGGCGCCTCTTTCCAAGACTTGCCAGAAAGAACAGCTTTGACCGACTTGGTCTGACCCCTACCTATCCCATGCCCTTCCGTTCCTTAGAAATCCTCTTCCCATCCCCGGAAATTCTTCCCAATTGACCTGGTTCAGTTCAGACCAGTTCAGAGGCCTTTTGAGAGTCCCGCAAATCAAGCACATCAAGAAAAGGGACTGGGCCTGCTTGTCTGCGAACATTTCCAGAAAGACCTCAAGTTGCACACGGATTTTTCCGGACGTGCCATCCTGTTGAAACCTGCGAGCCTGTGACAGAATTGGCGCCTGGCGGCCCATCCAGGCCTGGCTGTGTGAGATGGGACCTGATTTCAATTGTGTCAAGCTCCAAACAGCACGGCGCGTCCGGAAAAGTCCGGAAACAACTTGGAGTGCGCCGGCTTGGGGTAGCAAGCAGGCCCAAGTCCTTGTTCGCGTTGTGCCTGATTTGCGGGACTCTCCAAAAGGCGTCTGAGCTGGTCTGAACCAGGTCTGAAACCAGTCTGAAACATCGGAAATGATCCCCCCAACTCCTGCTGCTCGCCTGGCTTGACAAGGTTCAAAACGTGGTGAGAGCCAAGTTTAAAAGAATCCCCTCCCCGGCACAGGGAAGTGTCAGGGTCTATCTACCCCCGGAAAAATTGGAAGAATTTCCGGAGATTTCTAAGTTAGGAAGGGAAGGGCATGGGATAGGTAGGGGTCAGACCAAATCGGTCAAAGCTCTTCTGGAAAGAGGCGCCGTCCCATCTCATGCTGCGGCCATCTGCTTTGGATCGGCCGCCAGTCAGGCGCCGAGCCGGGGGGGGGTGGAGCATCCTTTGAAACTTTTGTGTTGATGGAATTAACTTTTTTGCGCCCAACTTTTTTGCACTCTCGCGGCACTTAATTGTCTAGCCTCACCCCTATCCTATCATGCCCTTCCCTTCCTTACAAATCCTTCTTCCGGAAATTGTTCCAATTTTTTCGGGGGTAGACCCTGGCACTTCCCTGCGCGGGGGCTGAGAGCCTTCTCAAGGCACGGAGGATCCTTTCCCATGTTTCAGACTGCTTTCAGACCAGGTAGGTGGCGCACTCCGGACTTTTTCCGGATTTTTCCGGACGTGCCATCCTGTTTAAACCGGTGAGCCTGTGACAGAATTGGCGCCTGACTGGCGGCCCATCCAGGCCTGGCTGTGTGAGATTGGAAGCTTCAAATGGCACGTCCGGAAAAGTCCGGAAAAGGTCTTGGAGTGCGCCGGCTCGGGGTGGTTGGAATGGTTGAAGTCCTTGCGCGTTGTGCCTGATTTGCGGGACTCTCCAAAAGCTGTCTGAACTGGTCTGAACCAGGTCTGAAACCAGTCTGAAACATCGGAAATGATCCCCCCAATTCCTGCTGCTCGCCTGGCTTGAGAAGGTTCAAAGAATCCCCCCCCCCCCGGCACAGGGAAGTGTCAGGTCTACCCCGGAAAAATTGGGATTTCTAAGGAAGGGAAGGGCATGGGATAGGTAGGGGTCAGACCAAATCAGTCAAAGCCCTTCTTTCTGGCAAGTCAGGCGCCGAGCCCTGGGAGGAGCATCTATTGAAACTTTGGTGACAGCTTCTTTGCACTCTTGTGCAGCACTTGGTGTCTAGCCTAACCCCTATCCTTTCCTGCCCTTCTCTTCAGTAGAGACCCTGACGCTTCCCTGCACGGGGGTTGAGAGCCTTCTCAAGGCAGGCGCAGGGGTTCGGGGGATCATTTCCCATGTTTCAGACTGGTTTCAGACCTGGTTCAGAGCAGCTCAGACGCTCTTTGAAGAGTCCCGCAAATCAAGCACATCGAGAAAAGGGACTGGGCCTGCTTGTCTGCGAACATTTCTAGAAGCTGTGACAGAATTGGCGCCTGACTACCAGCTGGCTGTGTGAGATGGGACGGCACGCCCCCCAAATCTGATTTCAATTCTGTCAAGAGCTCCAAACAGCATGGCATGTCCGGAAAAGTCCGGACAAAGTCCGGAAACAACTTGGAGTGCGCCGGCTCGGTCGGAGTGGTTGGAATGTTAACAAGCAGGCCCAAGTCCTTATTCGCGATTTGTGGGACTCTCCAAACGGCGTCTGAACCAGGTCTGAAACCAGTCTGAAACATCGGAAATGATCCCCCCAACTCCTGCTGCTCGCCTGGCTTGAGAAGGTTCAAAACGTGGTTCAGCAAAGTTTGAAAGAATCCCCCCCCCCCCCGGCACAGGGAAGTGTCAGGTCTAGCCCCGGAAAAATTGGAACAATTTCCGGGGATGGGAAGGAGGATTTCTAAGGAAGGGAAGGGCATGGGATAGGTAGGGGTCAGACCAAATCAGTCAAAGCTCTTCTTTCCGGCAAGTCTTGGAAAGAGGGGTTGCTAGTCCGTGTCTGAAACTCAAGCAAAAGAAGCCGGCGGTGTCTACCCCCGGAACATTTGCAAGGATTTCTGGGGATGGGAAGGAGGAGACTAAAGTAAGGGAAGGGCGTGGGATGCGGAAAATTTTGCGCAGAGGCCTTTCTGGCGTGAGCAAAGCCATGTCAATCTCAATCATAAATTGGCAATTGGTGTAACGTTCCCGGTTCAAGAGAGGTTCGGTTCTTGCATTGGTCGATTCTTAGGACCAGCTGTTACGCACAGGTTCGGTTCTACACGGTTCGGTTCCAGAGCGATTCGAAGCGATTCGATTCTGATAAGGCTTCGGTTGCAGTTCTTGATTCGATTCTATGCCTCCCTGAAAGTCTGGCACCGGTTTGCGCTCAGAATGTCCATGGACGACACAGTCTCCATCTCCAAGGCACTGAACCAAATCAAGACCGATGTCCTCTTCTGGACTCGTGAGGTGTATGAGTTCTGCCGCAGGCCGGGAGGCGGTGGAAAGGTGGAACGGCAGAGGACCTTGAAAAAGGGAAGCCCTCCAAAGGCAAGGGTGCCAAGTCCAAGTTCGCGGGCAGTAACCAGAAGCCTTTGAGGGGCAATTCCGCGAAAGGCCATGGGAGTCGCCTCTCCGGGGGCTCTAAAGGAAAGGGGGCAGACCTACCAGGCTCCTCTGGCCACGGGAAGGGCAAGCACTCGGACAAGCCACCGCCACCGGAATGGGCGGACATTTCCTCGGCGGGCGCCCAGTTTTGCAAGAAACACCACGCCTTTAACAAGTGCCCAGGGAATTGTGGGAGGTGCCACAATTGCCCGGTACTCCTTCCATCGGGCAAGGCGTGTGAGAAAAACCACCGGGCGGTGGACCATGAGGGGGCGGGTGTTGCCTTGGCAAGATGGGGATGGCAAATGAACACCCGGATCGGCAGGTGGCATCTTCCCTGGTGGTGACCTTGGGACACCGCAAGACCCCTGAGAAATGGGGGAGGCAAACCGTCTCTGGGCCGTTTACTACTGCACCAACGAGGAGCTAGGCGACTGGAGTGGGTTAGGCCAAATACTTCTGGGGGAACCGGCTGCTACCAGCGCTGAAGTTTTCCCTGGAGCAGCTGGTAAAACCTGCATGGGTCTTCTGCAGGACAGCCTAGAATCCAAGGACAAGCGTGGACCCTGGGCGCCGGAATGGCTGCAACATGTGCGGTTGGAGCTCGCCCATCAACTCGGCAAACACCTATCCAGGACAGTGGGCCCGTTTGCTTTAGCGGGAACAACCTTTCCAGCTAGACATTCTCAAGGCGCTGGCGGACATTGCAGAGGACCCGGGAGTGCCAGTGCGGGTAGACACACCGGTATTGGAAGACCCTCAGATCTGGCCCTCAAGGAACAAACCCCACAGGAATTAGAGTGTTCCCCCCCTGGCTCCGACCACTGCCGAGAACTACTCAAGCGCAGAGAAGTTTGAGGACGAGATTGAGCGCACCTTCAAAGAAGAGCGGGACATGGGCATGGTACGGAAGAGCCGCCAAAGTCTGCGAATGTAGACCGGAAGATCTGTATGTGGGGTCATGGCCGCGATCCAGGAGGCAGACAAGGTCCGTACAATCTTCGACGCCACCATCATTGGAGTAAATGACAATATCCGATCACAATATCCGATCACACATCACCAAGAAGACCGCCTCCCCCACACTTCATGATCTGCTGTGGGCGAGGGGGCAGCTCCTGGACAAGGACCTCACCTTCTTCAAGTCGGACGTCAGCAAGGCACATAGACGAATTAAAATCCGTCGAAATGACTGGAAATACATGATCAAGAACCGATTCTGGGTCGTCGGCACCTATGGGGTTGCATCTGCCCAGTACTACTGGAGCAGAGTAGCGGCCTTGCTGTTCTTGTGGGTCATGGTCTTCGTGGACGACTTCATGCTCCTCCTGCGCAATCTGGCATCTTCCTCCTGTTTCTTTCCCTGGTGGGATGTCCTATCTCCGGCACAAAAATGCCCTGAAACCGCAGAACTTGTGGCTAGGGTACCGGGTGGGACATCAGCAAGGGCACGGCCTGGTTGCCAGATGAGAAGCTGGAGAGAATGCAGCCTATGCTGCAAAAACTGCATTTGGGGGAGCTCCATACAAGGCCGCAGGTGACCTCTCTCCTCAGCCTCCTTCAACGGGTGGCCAAGGCTTTTCCTACTCTCTCACCTCACTTACAACCGCTCTATGCATGAGAGCAAAAGGTCCGCTGACGCAGGAGAATCTCCGGGCCACTTTTCCAGCTCGACGCATTGCCGCTCTGGAGCTCCTGGGATCTTTACTCCTGTTTATGTTTGCAGCAGACAGGGTGACCACCCACCGCATGGAGGTACATATACCCCTCCGCACAGACAATGAAGGCAACGCACATGCGGCATCGAAGCGGTCTGCCAAGAAGTGGCCCCGTCTTGATGGAACTTTCGGCGCAGGAACAGAAACGGGCAGTTCGCGTCTCTCCACCATGTCAAACAATGTTCCAACGTGTGGGCGGACCAGCTCACTCACCTGGACTTCGCTGAGTTTGACATGCAACGCCAGATCTTGGTGGTGGACGGTCCTGGATCCTGCTACCGGAAATTCTGGCTCTCTACATGCAGAACATCTGGCCGCTTGGCTCGACCACTGATCCTTGGTCTGGTCGCCTGGAACCACCTGGGCCGGCTGGCGGGCACTCCCATGCTGGCCTAGGGTTGGACTCCATTGTGGTTCTGGGTACTCCCTGGAACCACCGGTTTACTGGTTTTTATTGAACGCGGATTCACGAGACCGAAATTCTTTTTAAACACGGACTCACGCGGAACCTGGGGTATGTGAATACCCTTAATCCGAGACTGGGCAGGAAGCAGACACAGCCAACACTGTGTTTGCTGCCCTGCCCGCCCTGGTTTGGGTTAATTTCGCCACCCTCGCGGTCTCGGGATTCAAGTGCGAGGAGTGCTGCAGACTGCACTGTGACTTTTTAACTTGCAAAAAATTCAACTTTTTGCTCGGGGATCTACAGCACCCAAGAATTCCTCTCGCAGGTCCGGCCTTGGACGTCAGCGGGGAGCCCCGCCGCTGCTCCGAGGAGGATCGCCGCAGGCGAATCCCGGAAGCTGAGGGGGGACGAATCCTGTTTGTTTCGGGTGTGGGGGGGGGAGACGCTCCGGCCTTGCAGGCTGAATGCCGGGCCAAACGCCTTGTGCGCCAGCGAGGCGAGAAGAAAACCTAGGAGAGAGCTGCAGAATGCCTCCAGTTTCCAGGCGGTTTGCAGAGATCTCTGCGCCGGCCGGCACGACTGTCACACCGCCCAAGTGCCGGCAACCCAAATGCCGCGTGGAGTGTGAGATGTCCCGTAGACTTGGACTTCAGGTTGACGACGGGGGAGGTGTGCTACCTGAAGCCGATGGCCTGCGAGCGAGCAAACACTTGGCCGGGCGCCTAAAGTAAGCTTGCCACGCCGAGCAGTGCAGGCTTGGCTTTTCGGAGCTTTGGCGAGGCTCAGGTCGGAACCTCGATGTTCCGAGGTACAGGGATGAATTCTATTTGGGATTCGTTGCCACCTCAGCGGCGAAGGAGCGCTGGTGCACCTTGGCCCCTCTTGTTGGTGGCTCTGAGGTGAAGAGCGGATTGCCGAAGGGCTGCCCCGCCAGCGCCCCAGATCGACCATAGAGACAGTTTGGCCGTGTTCCTTTTGGTTTTCCAAGGCTTCGCTTTTACCAACAAAACCAAGAGAAGTGGAATTATGTACATATAGACCTAAACATATAGGGTCAGCCCCCTTTCATGAACTACCTTTCCTTCTTTCTTCATACATGCATATTGTTGAACTGAATGCTACCTGATTGCCTGATGTGAAAGACCTGTGATGTGAATCAGCGCGGCTGTAGTCGCTCTATTTTGTCTGGCTCAAGGCCTTGACATGTACAGCCACGGTGAGACCAAGCTGTACTACCGTGACATGTATCCAAGGGCATGTATACTCTTAACACGCCTTCTTAGAGTACAGTGTTTCAACTGTATCTCTAAAATGTATTGCATGTACAGTTATGACCTTGTGGTTCGGGATGATGTAAAACTCATCTGAGAAAACTCTTCGCCAGATTACAGATTGTTTGTACATCGATGTCCCTTGTGGGCGGTCAGGAGGTTGTACTCCAAACTCGTAGCCGAGTCCGGTGTGCCACATGGGCCCAAAATTGTACTTCTCTTGTACAACCATCTCAGTTGTTTTCCTCTTGAATTCGCTTGCTGTGCATCACCTTGTAGCCATTGTGTTGTGACAGAATCACTGCGCTGTCCACTTCTCGCACGCGTTGATCGCTGTAGCCAGCTTGTCCGGGGGTCAAAACTGTAGCATCTCCTGACAGCGCAGCTGGTTTTCCAAGATGTAGTGAAAGAGCCTTGTGCGAAGTGGCTCTGTCACCGCTTGTATCGAGGCATATGTGTACTGGGTGATGGCCATGGAGAAGCCTGCGCGTTTGCTGTCGAACTTGTCTTCGACGTCCAACATCTGTTCGATGTTCAGGATGATGTGCTGTAGCACCATGTAACCATTCTCCAGGTTGTAGCTTCGGTACAAGTTCCTGATGTCGCCACTGATGCGGAAAAATGTGCCGGTCTTCCTCTCAACCTCTGTCATGATCCAGGTGTGATGTTCATGCAGCTGTAGCACAAGTCCGATGTAGCCGCGGTTGAAGATTGAAATTTTATTCTCGCACACACGCTGCAGGATTTCGGGCTGTATGCAGCGAGACACGGTAGATGTAGCAGTTGCTCATGTCATCTGTACTGTCATGGCCACTGTGGATAAGCCAACTCATGTATCCAACAGCGTCCATCATGCTGTAGAACATGCCAACAAAACCAAGTGTAGGGGCACGCATGTAGCCGGGAATCTTGTCGACTCTGTGCGCCTCCTTGGTAGCCACCGTTGTCATGAACTTGGCCTGTTCCGTTGTAAGCGGAATTTGCACGGTGGTGTAGTCGCTTGGCTCCTCAGGAGCGATGTAGGCAGGGTTGCCCTCTGTAGGTTCCAGTGTAAAGCCATCCAGTACCACCAAAGACTGATGGATGGATTTGCACGCACGATGGGCCATTGTTGACACTGGCAGTGTATCTCCCTCTAGCTGTACAAGACCGATGTAAATGGCTGCAGTGATGAAACATGTATTCAAGCTTTTTGTCAAGCTGTCAAGTAAAACCGTAGTCAAGAGATTGCAAAAACAGGGTCGTCGTTGTACCCAAAAGGTAGAGTAAAAGCGCAAGGGGTAGATCCATGGCAATGTAACTACCCTAAAAGTGGTTTAGCCGGCTGACATGTAGTGAAACGAAAGTGCGTGACCTGTGCAACTGATGTTTAAACATACTGTGCAAACTTTGCAGTGCAGACTGTGGGTGATACTCTTGTCATTGATGTACTTGTTGATGTCAAGGTTGGCTGGGCAAGCCTACCTTGTACAGGTGTCTGTGGAGTGTGTCGGTTGGGACAAACTTTGTCAGTGTGTCCGAGGGGTTGTGTTCCGACCTTATCTTACACATTGTGATGATCTCGTTCTTGACCAGTTGTTGCATGAACAGGTGCCGTAGCTCTATGTGTTTTGCTTTCTTTGATGTACCTTCTCTCATGGCTATTGGTTTAGCCGAACTGCTGTCCGTATGAATTCTGATGTTGGTCTTTGTGTCCAAAGCTTCCTTGACAAAGTTGCTAATGTAGATGCTTTCTTGCGCAGCTGTGCCAATTGCGTATAGCTCTGACTCTGCTGATGACAGGGCTATTGTTGCCTGTGTTCTGCTTCCGTAGTGAACTGTAGCTCCCAGGAAATGTATGACGAATCCTGTTGTGCTCTTGCGTGTTGTTTCGCATGATGCCCAATTTGCATCTGTGTAGATGTCGATGTTGATTGGAATCCTCCTGTCTTGCATTTGTGCTGTCGGTCTGAGGGCGTGTTTCCAGTGTCTTGTACCTTTGAGGTATCGTATCATGTGCTTGAGTTTCTTGTTGTCCCTCTGCGTTGGTGCTTGTAGAGACCTGGCCAACTCCTTAGCTCCATAGCTGTTGTCTGGCCTTGTGTATGCTAGCCATTGTATCTTGCCAACCAGACGCCTGTAGGCTGAATGCTGTTCCGAGTCAAGAACAGTCTCATCTTCTATTGTAGTTTTGGGATGTGAAATCCCGGGTGCTGGTGCTGCGTTGCATGTGGTCATGTTGGACTCCTTCAGTATGTTGTCGATGTAGTCATCTTCCAGACTACTGTCTCTTCGGTCTCCGTTGTGGGTGATGTTCTTCCAAGGAAGGTGATTGTTTTGCCAGTTGTGAGCTTGCCTGTTGGTCGAAGCAAGACATGTTTCATGATCTTGTCAAACAGGATGTCTGTCTCCTTCTGTTCAGGAACAGTAGATCATCCACGTAGACCATGATGTAAGCCGTTCCTGCTCTGTTCCTGTAAACGTTCAAGTCTGGTTTGAGTCTTGTCAATTCATGTGCTGTGAGTACTTCTGCTATGTGGTCTTGCCATTGTTTGGGCGATGACCTCAGACCGTAGATTGCTTTGTTCAGCTTCCACATGATGTGTTTGTTGTTGTCGTCGTAGAACTCCGGAGGTGGTCTCACAATGATGTTGAGTGTTGCTGCTGGTGCATGTAGAAACGCTACGCTTACATCTCCTGTGCGTACCGACCAGTTGCTCGACAATGCCATTGTAAGAAGTATCCGTAGGATACAGAACAGTGGTGTGCTTGCGTAGATGAGGTCATTGTCACTGATGTTTTCGGTGTACCCTTTTGCAACCATTCGTGCTCGTACCTCTTGTTGTTTTGGTCGTAGTACCCATCTGGACTCTACGATGTTGGACCATTGCTCAGTCGTGAGTGTGTTGCCGTCTATTTCGGTGTTCCTGTTGCAACCTTTGTTGGATCCAGTCCCTCTGTACCATGTAGTATGGGTTCCAGTAGTATCCTTTCATTTTCTATCTCCTGTGCATCCTCATTTGATGTTGTCTCGACGTGTTTGCCGTCCCGTGTGTTGACTGTCATTGCATTTATCCTCATTTTGCGTTGTGGTTGTTCTCCTGTAGCGGGTCTCTCTAAAGGATGAAGGCTCGCCAAAGAAACAGCAGAGAACACAGGAACCCACATCGCCGATGGCAACAGCTCCACCTATGACACAACGACCAGCGCTGCCAATGCCTACATCATCAACAAGACCACGACCGGATGAAGTCACAGAAGGCAGTACAAGTAAACAACAGAAGACAACAGCAGGAGCACTGATGATGTGCTCGTTGTTGCGTCCTTGTGTTGCTTTGCCGTCTGCTGTTGTCGTTGTGGTAATGGCAGTGTTGTTGGCGTGGTTGTTGTCTGCGTTGTCGGCGTAGTAAGCGCCGATGCTGGTGTATTCCACGGTCCCATGTTGATCACGTCGAAGAGTTGTTGGTTGTACTTGTGTAGTTTGATCTGTCGTCGTATCGTATGTGCACGTAGTATCTTGTTGTATACCCCTATCAGGGATTCGCCTGTGGTTGTGTCCTTCCCAAGGCATATTCCGTTGAAGAAGCGTGGTTCTAGCTTTGGGAACTGTTTTATTGACGAGGCCATGTATTGTACGGTTTCGTCGAATTCACATAGTGGAGCATGTTGCTCTTTGTGCCATCTGTTGTAGAAGCTTGTGAGTCCGTTTGCGTGTATGGCGTATCTGTTCACGATGTAGGCGCTGTGTCGCACTATCCACGGCATGATGGGGTGTTTCATGGCGATTGTCCTGTTGTAGCTGTGGAACATTTGTGCTCTCAGTGTTCGTATCTGTCCGAAGAGTGTGCGGTGTGCCCGTTCTACGCCTCCTTGTGACTGTGAACTGTATGCCGGTGAAGTGCGTGTAGTTATGTTCCCCTATTGTGTTTGCCACTGCCTTTGTAAGTGCGATCAAGTAGTCTTCTTGGTCTGATTGCAGTATCACATGTGTTGTTCTGCCGCATTCTACCAAGAACTGCTGTAGTTGTTGTACGGCGAAGTCAAAGAGTCGTTGCTTCTCTGAGAGTTGTAGCGCCATCATCATGCCTGATTGTATGTTGATTGCTGTGAGTATCGGATGTACCTTGCTGTCGTCGAAGCCTTTTAGATATGCGAAGTCTAGTTGTATGATTGGCAATGTGCTCTGTTGCTTCGGGTCCTTGTTTGCCCGACCGCGAGCCTGTACGCATGTTGGACACCAGCTCCTGTACGGAAGGTGAGTCACATTGTGTTCTAGTATCTCTTGTGGTGTAGGCTGTTTTGGTGCTTGTGCTGCTCGTGCCTTTCTTCCTTGTTGCTGTTCTTCATCGTCTGACTCCAGTTGTGCCGGGTACTGTTCTTGTTAATCGAAATTTGTCCAGCCAGTCCAAGGAGTGTCGCGTGTCTTTGATTGCTCAGTTGTCCATTCGTCCTGTACTACCTTGATGCTTCCTCCTGCTGCTGGTTGTATCTTTGTTAGCCTGTACGTGCTCAACTTCGAGACGTCCGGTCTTGCTCTGGTATGTAGTAGGATGTGCGTGGTTGTACGTGGGGGCTCGCTTCCAGTATGGCCACCGGGTTGTAGTTCCGATGGATGAGGGATTCCTTGTCCTGTCCCAGTCGTCTCTGACTGCTGCTGTTGTATTGTTTGTCGTGGTTGCTTTCCTGTTATCCTCCTTTGTGGTTTGTATTGTATTACTTGCGGTGTGACTCTCGATGTTGTGATCTCTCTTTCTGTTGCGATTGCTGCTGCCTTACCGCCAGTTGCTGTTGTAGTGTGTCTGGCAGTGTTGTACCTTTCTTTAACCTGAACACAGTCTCTCCTTTCCACAGTGTTGGCTGTGCCTGGTTTGGATTGTCGAGATGTTGGCATCGATCCTCTATCATCCTTGTTGTGCCGTTCTCTCCTTTGATCGTTGTTCTTCTGTAGTTCTCAAGTCTTCTGTCGAAACCGGGCACTGTGTTCGTGTTGGTGTGAACACTGTCTTCCTGTATTGCCGATGTACTCTGACAAGCTCTCCTTGGCTGTTGAATTGCCAGTAGTCTCCTGCATATCCTGTGTACTGTGCTCCTTGAGGTGTCAGTGTGGTTGTTGGTGCTATCATTGCCACCTGTCCTTGTTCTGCGTTGTCTACCTTCAATTTTGTTCCTCGTGGCAGTGTTGTGATCTCTGCTTGTAGGAAGAGTAGTCCATGTGACCGTGTGATGCTGCTGTCGAAGCCCTTGTCGTGATGTATCCTTGGATTGTCATCCAGCACAATCTGGAGTCCTTGTTCTATCAGTCTTGTCACTGATAGCATGGGTTGTTTGATGTCACACACGTAGAACGGTATGACGATGCGTTGTCCGTTGATGTTGTTCATACAAACCCATTTGTATCCGTGCAGCTTGATTGGCTGGTTTGTCACTGTCCTCAGCTGTGGTCCGTTTTCCGGCGTCAGTGGTTGTATTTGTGACTCTGTTGCAAACCATGGTGGGCAGACATGTGCCACTGTCGATCATGAGATCGATGTACCTGTTGCTTGTGCCTTCTTGTTGTTGTACCGTTGCTGTAGCAATGATCACTTCTTCAAGTCCAGAGACTATCAAAGGCATCTGTTCATTGCCTTGTTGTAGTGCTAGTTGTTGCTGGTTGGAATGCAATTGTGTCTGGTCAATGTGGTGCCAATGTCATAGTTGTAGATGGCCACTCTGCATTGCTTGGCCATGTGTCCTGGTTGACCGCATCTGTAGCATACGTTTGTGGCTTGCTTTCCTTTTGTTCCTTTGCCTCCTTTGCTGTAGTTGTTGTGTCCTTTGCCTTCGTGATATCCTTTTCCTTTTCCTTTGTTGTTGTATCCGCCTTTGAACGGATTTCCCTGTCCTATCGGCTGGTTGTATCTGTTGTCTCCTTTGCCTCCTTTGTGATTGTTGTAGTTGCCGTAGCCGCCGTAGCCCTTTCCTCTGTTGTATGTTCCTTTGTTCTTTCCTTTTCCTTTCTTGCCCTTTCCTTTGTTGTACAATGTTGCTCCTATGTCCATTGGTGCTGGACCTTGGTTGTCACTACTCGTAGCCGCTTGTAGTTTGACGAACTGTGATGCTGCTCTGTGGTACTCCACAACCAGCCAACTGATTTGTGCGTAGGTTGTGATGTTGCCTTCTTGTAGTTGCAAATGCTATTGCAGTGGGCCTTTTGTCTCGTTGAGCAGGATTGCAATCTTGATTGCATCCGGTGGTAGTGTCCTGTTGTCTTGTTCGTACTTGGCCAGTTGAAACTCCCATGTTGTAAAGCTGGTTTGAGTAGCTTGGTGAGGTAACCGATGCTTCTTGTACCAAGTGGCAGTGCGTAACGTATGTGTAGTTGTCTCCATGTCTCGAAACCATTGCCGAGCATGTTCTGTTTGCATCCCTGTGCCGCCATTGTCACTTACTGTGTCACTGTGTACTTTGGTTGGTTGGATCTTTCCCAGGTGTGGTGATGCTTGTAGTCAGTTGTGCTCCGCTACCATGTTAAACTGAATGCTACCTGATTGCCTGATGTGAAAGACCTGTGATGTGTATCAGCGCGGCTGTAGTCGCTCTATTTTGTCTGGGCAGATTGTAGGCTCAAGGCCTTGACATGCACAGCCACGGTGAGACCAAGCTGTACTACCGTGACATGTATCCAAGGGCATGTATATTCTTAACATATATAATATATAAATATATATATATACATATATATATATATTGTTTTTTAAAGGATAAAGCTACCAGGGGGGTAAAGCACCCTCCAGCGAGCTGCGCCTTGAGGACATTGAGGACACGGCCCAGCTGCCGAGGGAGCCCCAAACGACACCGGAGCCGGCGCCGGCGCCGGCGCCAGAGCTGCAGCCGGGGCAGCCGGGGGAGCCGGGAGCCTGGCTGTTCCTGGAAAGGGGAGGGTAGAGAGGATGGAGCTTGCAACCTTTATGGCGAGTCGTGTTTGTTCATTTCGATTCATTTCGACCATGATTTCTTGTATCACCAGGGCTCCAAAATCTCAATCATGCAATGGCAACAGTACTTAGCTTTGCAGGCATGCTTTCAAATCTCGGTGTAGTTTTGCACCGGCCCCGTGTTCTTTGTTGAGTGTTTTTGCAGACAATGGTTTGAACTCAGCAGCAAAGACAAGTCAAGCCTGCGGCTGCGAAAGGTTGCAACACATTACAACTCAGCCAAACTCTTAACACCCACAAGCCTGAGAAACCTTTGTAAGCCAACTCGGAGATTGGGCGCGTTATTCTGCTATGGACCGAGCTTTCGATTCAAACGGCACAGTGGTCCTAAGGCTTTTCTTCCACACCCCTGCTCCGGAGTCCGTAGAAGAGGCGGGTTGCGACCGCACCGGGGTCGACGAAGCGATTTTCCCGCGCAGGCGGCTGGGCCAGCATGGTGAGAACCCCAGGAGGCGGAAGGCGCATAGGAGCCGTCCCCCCCGCTTCCGTTGTTTCTCATGCCGCAGCTGGCGCGTGAGGTCGGCGACGGTGCATTTCCACACGAGCGCGCCGTCAAGGGCAGCGGTCCCAGTGAGAACTGGGAGTCTGGGGCGTGTGACGTCAGCAAATACGTCCTGATCCTCAGGGTTTACGGCTACATAAGAGCGGAAAAGACAAAAAGAAATCAACAGCCCTTCTTCAACCCATGGCCCTGCGTGGAGCTGAGGCACCCGCGGTCGCGATTTCTCCCCCGGCCCCAACGCAGGGTGGGGGGCCCCCGGCGAGTCCGGCCGTCGCGCCGGCAGCCTGGCCCGGCCCCGTGGCCCCTGGCACGCCGGACCCGGCCACTGCGGTGGCCCGACCAGCGGCGCCCGGAGCGGCCAGACCAGGGAATTTGGGGAAGGTGCGGACAGCAGTGTGGTTTTTCTGAGGCACTCGTAGCCCTTTTTGACAACTTTTCAATTCAGCAGGGATGTCCACTCGGTTTCTCTTTGGAGTTTGCTCCTTGCCCACCGCGGTTGACACACCCCAACCGCTACGCTGTCGCCTTGCCAGGCGGGGCCGTGGCCTCACGATCCGCCGGACCCGCCGGAGCCTCGAGCGCCCAGCGCCGGGTTGGGTTGGGTGGGGAGTGGCTCGGGGTGTGGGCGACGGAGTTCTTTGAGGTCGTGTGGTCTGCTGGTCGTTTTTTCCATCAGCTGCAACTTTAAATCTTCGGGATGTGCTGGCACCTGCCTGGAGTGAAAACCGAGCAGTGCGAATCGGCTAGCAGCCGGTCCCTCGAGCGGCCTTGCGCAAGCCATCTCAAGCCGAGCCCCAGGCCACGTGTTGCGAGCCGGTTCTTACGCAGCCATGGGAAGCGGAGGCTCCGTCACAGCCAAGGTGGACGGCGCCACCAGGATGAGCTTAGCAGATTTGCACTGTCCATGGCGTCTCTGAAGTCAGTAATTCGCATGTTGCTCGGACACTTTTTCAGCCCCAGCCGGAGCATCGAACTCGGGGTGTTCCAACCACCGGGACCGCTCCGGGACCCCCTCAAACCTGTTCGGTGCAGTGTCCGGGTTGGACCAATGCCCCAAAGCCATTCAGAACCTCAGAACTAGCAATGCCACAGTGAGGAAACCATTGTCAAGTGTCAAACGCCAGTCTGTCCGCATTTGCGTTCAGGTGAAGAAGACGGAGCGGACAGAGCTCTTGGAGATCATTGAGCACCTGGACCAGGAGACCCTGGAAAAGGTGCACAAGGCCGGCGCAGCGGGGGACAAAAAAGAGAGGAGAAAACAAAGAAAAGAACCAAAGCACACAAAAAAAAGGGGAAAACAACAACTACACAAAAAGAGGCAAGAAAGAGAACAAAAAACACATCCTGGACCACTTGTTGCCCACGCGCCGCAAGACCACCGGTTTTTCCCGCCGCGCGCCTCGGCTCGCGTCGCTCGCGCGCCACTCGCTGAGTCTCAGGCGGTGGCCAAGGAGCTCGGGGCGAAGATGCGGCGGGCCATTTGGACCTGGGACAAACCGACGGCCAAGGAGGCGCTCGCGGAACTGGGCCTCGAGGGCAAGCTGCCCGAGTGCACCGGCAAGGACCGGCGTTTCAATAAAAAAGATGGGAAGAAACCACAAGGAAGAAAAAAGAACATCCCCCCCAAAAACAAAATCCCCAAAAAATGTTCCCCCCCCCCCCCAAAAAAAAAGAGAGAAGCAAAACAAAAGCAAGAACACATGGAAGGCCTTTTGCGGCCTTGCAGCGATTTGACCGTTGTTTTGTTTTTGCAGTGTTTCTTGTTTTGTGTTCCCCGCTCCTTTCCTTTGTTGCTTGATGTTGTTTTTTCTCGATCTTCCCCGCTTTTTGGGGGTTTCTTGCGGTTCTCCGCCTTTCCGGCGCGGCTTTCGGAAACCTGCGGGCCCGCGGGGTGGGTTTCTTCGAGCGCCAGGAGCTGGTGCTGGGGGAGGCGAAGTTCGAGGAGATGGACCGGGCGCGGGTGCAGGCGCTGCTGCAGCGCTGCGGCTTTTTGTTCCTCGTGGACCAGGCGGAGTCCAAGGCCCCCTTCGTCCCCCCGGACCGATTGCACGGGGAGTGGTGGGGGGAGAGGGGGGGGGATGTCGCGTTTCTGTGGAAGAGGAAGTTGTGGCAAAGGAGGGTGACATGGGGAACGAGGGGGGAGGAAGGTTGGGCTGGGACCGATTTGCTTCTCGATTCTTGGAGAGGGTGAGCATCTTTGCAGCTGCTTTCATCGCGAATTTTGTTTTCAAACCACGTTTGTGTCATGACTATATCACGATACATCAATATACATCAATGCTGCGCCGTCGTCCTTACTAGCACTGGCCAAACGTCACGGCCATGACCATCAAACTGTCAAACCTTTCGGTAGGTCCTACCCTTGCTTCTCCGTTGCATTTGTTTCCTGTGTTTCCTTCGCACTTGCCTATCTTTCCTTTTGACAGCCTCTACCGCTATTGGGTTGGATCTTTAGACTCTAACTTTTGGGATTCCCTTCAAATATTTCCTAACCAGCTCAACAAGCTAAACTTTTTTTTTGCCGGGGGGGGATGTACAGCAGGCGCTCAGCTCACCCAGCCCCTGGCTGGGGCGGTTCCCTCGCTCAGAGACGCTTGCAGGAGGGCTGCAGGGAGCGGGCGGCCTACTTGTGGGGCAGAGACGAGGCGAGGCTCGCGGGGTGAATGCGTTTGCTTGTGGTCGTGGCCGTCGCCCCTTTTGTTAACGGAAAACAGGGCCTGTTTTGGTGGAGGGACTCCCCCCCACCCAAAAAAGAAGAGAAAGAAGCCAAAGAGAGAAACGTGGGTGGCGTTCCTCGGGGTTTTCCCTTCCAGGCTCCAAAAAACTGGGGGCGGCCTCCAAAGCAGGCCGCACGCCCGGTTTGGCGGCCCGAAGCCTTCTGCCCCAGGTCGAGCCCTTTCTGAAGGAGCTGAACATTTGCTTCCGCAGCATCTTGACTGCTATTGGGTTGGATCCTTAGACTTCATCCTTTTTGGAAATACAGGTGTTTTCCACGAACCCCGCTAAAAAGTGATTCACTTTTTGCAGGGGGGTCGTTGCAGCAACCAAGGCATGGAGGGCAAGAAGCTGCTGACTGACAGCTCCCAGTTTCAGCCGGAGGAGTACGACGCCATCAAGCAGAACCTGGGCAAGGCGGGTCCAAATTATAGCTTGCAGTTGAGACGAGCGCTGTTCGGTCGTCTCAGATTCGAGCAAAATTTGGCCGCCCAACAAAATGGGAGCTTGGGTGGTGTTTTTCAGCCAACAGCCGCAGATGCCGCTCGGAACGGCAAAAAAAAGGACGACACGGAAATCGTGGGGTCTGGTGGATTAATTGGTTTGGCCCATACCCAGGTGGCCCTGCTCTTCATGCAGGATCTGGTGAGGGAGCGCTGAGGTTCGGCAGAAGGGGTGGCCGAAAGTTGCCCCCCCCTTTTTGCTCAGCGAAAGCCGCACGCCGCCCGAGCCACGGGCTGCGATGAACTCCGTCGCAAACCGACGGCCAAGCACTGGACTGAAAAGGAGCCCTCAGCTTATGCCGCTTCATTGGGGAAAGAAGCCGACCCCCTCCGCATGCTGCAGGATGGAGGTTGGAGGTGGGAGATTTGGCTCCGGCTTGGATTGGGCTCCATTTGTTCTGCAGAAGGATTCCCTTAACCGATTGCATTTTGCTCGTGGTTGAACCGGTGCTCTTTTTCGGCGCGCGGTACGTGGATGCCGGCTGAAGCGTGGAAAGCGATTGGATGCTGCCCGACCGACCCGCTCCCTTCCACGCATTCACGGGCCATGGGCCATATTGGATGGTACCATTTACAACTCTCAAACACCTGCCTGGATCGCCAGTTGCGATCGCTTTTTTCCATGAGCTTTACCCCAAAGCCCGATCGCAACAGTGACTGAAAAAAGGCAAGAACCACTTGGCTATCTAGGTGAGACAGAAGGTCTTTGGTGCATTTTGCTGTTATTTAACTTTTTGATCCTGTTGGCTTGGGGGATTCGAAGCTCCAAGTTGCCCAAACCGCGGGCTCACGCGGGCTCGCTCGCCGACTCGAGGCGCCTCACCAGCCCAGATGACCGCGGCGAGCTCAGAACGGATCGTCACGTGGCCGGCGTTCGTTTGAGCTGGTGCATGTTTTGGCCATTTTGGCCTTCACCTTTCCGCGCCTTTTTTGACACCTTTGACACCGTCGAAACATGAATGATTTATCGCATTTTTTGAAGCGCGTGATGCGGTGAGTTGTGGCGACTTCCATTCCTGTTTTGAGGTTGGAACGTGTCATGGCTGTCAGCTATGATTGATCGGCGTCTAGTGCGAGGGTGACGATGGCGAGAACGCAATGGGCAAAACTGCCTGAGGGAGGTCAGGTAACGCAAAGGGAGGCAACACAACGACCACGGGAGCCACGGGAGCCCTACGAGTCAGCAGGCCGAAGCTTCGTTTTTCCTTTCCGGCAAGGCTGGTACATCCACATCGGCAAGCGCTGCATCTTCGCAGGTGAGGTTTTTTCGTCGCATTCGCTGCCGGCGGCTTCGATGTTTTCAGGGAAAACCCTTCAAAACCCTAAGAAACCCCAAGGAACCCTGGCAAAAAAACCAAGGAACCCTGAGAAACCAGGGAACTTTGGGGAAAAACCCTTCAAAGACCCTTGCAGACTTCCTTTGGATGGTTTTCGGGCCCTTCATTTTGGCGCCCTCTCCCACTTCAAAGGGGCCCTTGAATCTACAAGCTTTGAAGGGTCCCCATGGGTCCCTTCGGAGAACCTGAAGGGCCATGTCGGGAGCTGCGCCAGGCATGGCCCTGGAGAGCCCGGAGACCTGCCTCCGGCAACCGGAGCGGGAGGGCTTCAAGGGGCCCGGGCGCCCATCTGTGCCATCGCGGGCGCGGGCCGGGAGGGGGGGGGTGAGCACATATATAGTCATGTGCCAGGATATGGACCGCAGTCCTTTCCAGGGACAAGTCATTTTGGCGACGTTTTTTGTTTTTTGTGTTTTATTAAATGCACACACCCATGTCTCATGGACAGTTTCTCAGCTGGCAACATGCTCGCCTGCTGTTGGCTTACAAGCGCCCTGGTAACGGGCAACCTCTGTAGGGGAGTGGAAATCTGAATGGGACAAAGCTAGGGGAAATTTCGGTTGCGGGCATGCACACCACTTGGAGTTGTTCTTCAAGAAATCCCGCATCCTGACACCAGAAGGAGGAAGAAGAAGAAGAAGCAGAAGAAGAAGACAACGGAAGACAAAGACGCCAAGCGCCTCTTCAGAGCTTATGGCGATCCCCGTCTTTGACATCGACCTGGACGAAGATCCCGCGCTGCGCTGGCGGGCGGTGGCAGCGGCCGGGGCCCACTTGATTTGCCGTGTAGGCCTTCGCTGGGATCTGGGTGGTAACTCAAGCCAGTTTGTGCAGGTTTTGGTGGTGCTGCCAATTTGGGACATACTGCCGTTGTCATGGTCGAACCGCACCGAAGGCACAGTTCGTGGCGACAAGAACCGTGCCCAGGCCTATGCCCCCCATCTACGCAAGCTAGCGGAGGCTTGGCTTCTGGTGCTGTCGCCTGCCTTGGGCGGTGGGGCGGTGGTTTGCTTTCGGGTGTCATGGGAGCTCAGAAGGGTGCCATTGCAAGGAAAGCTATGTCCAATGGCGGTCACAGGTTCAAGGCAACCCCCTCCTTTTACACTTTGACCCACCCCCAAACCCAAAAAAAAGCAAACAGCTCCACCTGGACCCGCCAAACAACAAAGAGCAACACCCAAACAAACTCCACCTGGACGTGGTTTGAAACAAAAAACTCTTCTTTTTTTAAAGAAACCGGTGGCCGAGGGAGAGATCCATCCGCACCAACCGTCACGCCAAGCCGAGGAGTGGCAGGTGGCCATGGCCACCGCCCCCGCCCGCAGCGCCTCCCGGCGCCGGGGTCGCAAGGCCGCCGTTTGCGCGGAGCGGCGGGTGGCGCGGGTGGCGCAGCAGGAGGCGCTGCAGCTGCTGCAGCGCCTCCAAGGCGGCTGCGGGTTGGGGAGGGGAGGCGGGCGCCTAGGGAGCGGACAGCAGGGAACCCTGATCTGGGTTTTTGCGTCTCTTTGGTTTTGCTTTAGAACGCAGAGGAAGCATCCTTCATATTGATGACCCCCCCCGTTGTGACCTTGGAGTTCAAAAAATGAAGAAACAATGAGTTTCCAAACCGCTTGACAGGTGTTGCACAGCAGCTTTTTTTGGGCCATAGGTGGGAAAAATAGGTGGGTTTTCCCATGTTTTCCCGGGGTTGTGAAAGGGCTTACCGGGGTGTCGTATTTTTCGTTTGGATTGGGATGGCCTGGGTTCACTTTGAGGAAAGCCCAAGGGAGAGGAGAGGTGACTAGCGGCCGGAATCGACTGATCTTCATATTCGATTGACTTCAGCAAAGTCGAGCAGAGAATCATATTCATGATATTCATCAAACCATTTTGCGCCCTTTCCCCCCCCCATGGAGCAGCCATAGCCAAGAGTCAGTTTGATGTAAGCCACCATTTTTCTCCCATCCCAAGGAATTTGCCGCCTGGCTGGTGGAATTCACCGCCGCAGGCGCCGGAGGCTTCCTGGCGCAGCTCTTCCTGGAGCTGCGGGGCGTGGCGGAGGCGGCGGAGGTGCCGCTGCAGGCGCTGTGCTCCCTGAGCCTGCAATACGAGGTGCCACTGGGGGCTGGTGGCTGTAATGAGAGGCGAGAGCTTTGGCTAAGCACGTTTGCACACCTGTGCTTGGCTGCAATGGCTTCTTCCCTTCCAACGAATGAGCAGTTTGGCGCACTGGCAGCTGTGCTGATTTTGAGCTTTGGGGGAAGGGGGGGCCCTGGGCATTGGGGAGTTGCGGCCGCGCCGCGCGCCGCGCGCCGCGGTGCCGCCCAGAAAGGCCTACTGCGCTTGCACCGCGGTGGCGGCGCGCATGGAGGACGGCAGCGTGGCTCTGGCGCGGACCCTGGACTGGGAGTTCCCCGAGCTCAAGGCGCGGGATGAACGCGGGGCGTGTCGAGCGGGACACCCAAGAGGGCAGCTGTTGTTTTGTATTGGTCTCCCTTGAAAGCCCAAACCCGAAAAAGGGGTAGTTGCCCTGCCCCTCCAAAAAACAAAAGAAGAAAAAATGCAGAAACTGCAAACAACAGGACAGAGCCATATTTCTCCGGTGAGGCGTTGAACATCGACATCCGGGTGTTTCGTGGTGGGCGGCTCCTCTACACTGCCACCACCTGGGCGGGGTACATCGGCGTGTTGACGGCCCAGCGGCCCGGGCGCTACGCCCTGGCCGTGAACTTCCGGGAGGAGGGCGCCTTGGCCTTGGAGCGGAGAGCTCGGAGCTCGTGGGGTTCGAGCCCCAAGCATCCAAGCAAGTGACGTGGAGCGGTGGGGACGTTCGGGGCCCTTTAAAGACCCGAAGGTCGAAGGTCGAAGGCTTCCTTCTGTGAAAAGAAAAGGGTAGGACAAATTTTTGAAAAGAGGATGATGGATCAAACAAATGCCGCCCTGACTCCAGCCGACCATTTTGTGGCTTTGGTGGTTTTCCGGGGGTCTCGGCGGGGGGGGGGGGCCGGGCCTGGGCCTCCAGGCGCCGGGGAGGCGGCCGTCGAGGCGCTGCCGGTGGGCCTGGCGGTGCGCCAGGCGCTGGAGCGCTGCGAGGCCTACGGGCCCTTCCTGGAGGACTGGGCCGGCGGTGGGCGTGGGGCGTGGGGCGTGGGGGGGGGGTCGGTGTGTGGCGCAGGTTTTAAGAAGAAAAACACAGGAAGGCGCTCCCTCAGAGAGCCTTCAGTGGTTGTGTGTTTTTTTTGGAGGGCTTTATGGGTTTCCATCTTAATGAGGTACCAGCCGAAAGCGGCCCTTGTTTCCGACAGATACCCTAGACACCTGGCATATTTGACGAAAGAATAATCATTTTTGTGTCTCCTTTTCTTATTCATTTCAACGTAGAGTCAAGACAGAAAGTGTACTTACCGTTGTTTGCCACTGCTACCCTCCGTGGCTGGGCTAGACGAGCGCGTCTGGGTACCGTGTAGGACCTCGCCTCGGTGCCGGCCATGGCGCCCTTCTACTGCCTCGTCTGCTCCGAGGCCTCCGCCGCGCAGATCACCCGGGACGTCCAAAACGAGCTGCAGCGACGGCAGCTCGAAGAGGACGTGGCGCCCCTCGGCCAGGAGCACCTAGCGCCAGTCACGAGCCATGCTGAGGGGGGATCAGTCGGTCACAGAAGCTGCCCTCCAAGTTTTCAGCCATGGTTTGGTAGGGAAACCACTCCCACATTTTGGTTGGGATGTCTTCGAAGGGTTCTGGAATTGCTTCAACAGTTTCAGGGGCACAGTAGCGGCCGAACACGCTTCCAGCATAGGTTTGTCTCTTGGTGCGGTTGCAAGCCCAAGGTTCCTGGTGCAGGCCGGGTGGGACAGGCCAGCACCACCGGCCGGCCGTGCTCGCTTTTTGAGCGCCAAGATGTGCGCCAGGCGAACATGGACCACTGGGACTCTGACCCGGCCAAAGACAGCCAGCAGTCCCTGGTCCGCTGTAAGCTGGTGGAGGAGATGCTGCAGGCGCCCCTGACCCGGGGCTTTGTGGAGGCGGGGGAGGGATAGGACGGAGAGGTAGGCCTCGCATGCCCCCCCGCAGCTCATGAGCGACTTGAGCGCTGCTCACTTGGCTTGTCGCGGCTTTGGCGCCGAAAGCCGTGCTCGAGTTTGGGAGCTGCGAGAAACCTTCGGCTGAGGAGTCCGAGCTTTGGGCGATCCTGTGGAAGTACCCGGTCTACGAGACTGGCATCACCCTGTACAGCACCGTCATGAACCCGGCGCAAGGCAGCTTGCGGCTGGAAAGTGGACATGTCAAGTTTGCGCCATGTTGGGGGATGCTGCAGGGAGGGTACCACGACATTCATTTGGCCCACATCGCGTGCCGGCCCGCCCGCCTCGTCCCGCCGCGACCGCCAGGTCTCTTTCGGTCACTCTCCGAGCCCCCGGAGGAGTTTCAAGAGGTGAAGCCGCGCGCGGGCCGGAAGAAGAGCAGGAAGTGAGCGAAAGTGCGATGTAGGGGTTGCTTGCTGGTGCAGTCACGCGGACAGACTTTTGGGTTGGTCTTAGCGAATGTCAGGTGAAGTGACCCCACAGACTCGGGAAACGAACAAGGTTATATTGTTGGTGCCTCACACTACTAGTCAAGTCCATTGATTCTACCATGCAACCTTGTATCCTTGTGTCTTACACTTATTTGGGTGCTGTTTTCATGTCAAATGCACGTAGGCCGCGCTCACAGCGCACTTGATGCCCTGTACCCCGTGCCCAAGCGGCGTGTTCTACCGGGGCCGCGGTCGACGGTCGACGGTTTCGGCCCAGGTCCTTCGTTGGCGGCGCGGCCGCCCTTTGCCTGGACGTGAACCGCTGCATGGCGCAAGGGCCCTGGTGTCTTTTTGCCGGGGGCTCCTGTGAACCGTTGGGGCCGCCAAACAGAACAACTCCGCAAATGCGGGCCGTTGCTCAGATGGTTTGCGACTTCCGTGCTTCATGATGTCACATGTTTGGGTTGATGGATGCAGGTTGGTCGGGCTGAGGCTTTGTGATGCGACACCGGGCTGTCCGGGGCTCGGAAGGTTCTTAGGCCACCATTTGGGAATCATTGGGGCAGTGCGTGCCAGGCTATGCAGTGGAGGTGTCGCAGGCGGACGTGCTTTTTGCCTGCATGGCTGCTGCTGGTTACCTCTGGCACTTTTTGCAAAGACTCAGGGATGCGTTGGAGCAAGACAAACCTTGCAGTCAGGTTCTGATTCATGCGTAGTTGAACCAAAATTGAATTAAATGGCTCTGGCTTTGTCCCTTTTGTCCACGCAAGTTTCCTTTGCTTTCGCAATTTGTCCCACCACTTGTTCAACTTGTCTCAGATTTTCCACGCACCATCCATTGGCCAGCGCCCCCGCAAGAACTGCTTCTTCCCATCTCCAAACTCCCAAGTGCGCTAACCTAAAGCCAGTTGTTGGGGTTGGAGTTGCTTTTTTGCGCACCTCTGGTTTTCCCATGTCGCACAAGGGTATAAATATATATATATATATATATTATTATTGTTATTGTTATAATTATTTAAAGAAAAAGAAAACATTGGAAAAAAGCAAGAAACGCATTGGCCGAAGATGCTTCGCCAGGCGGTGGACCGTTGCCAGCTGAAGCGGTCCAGCTGCCGGGGCCCCGGCCCATCGGCTTCCAGCGAGAGCTCTGTGGGGCATGGGGTTTGGAGGGTAAGCCATGGAGGCAACATATGGCTGTGGGTCAAAACCAATGGCACCATTTTGGTTAGGATGAATTCACCACCCATTTTAGTCTATAGTGGGGATTGGGATGTTCTCTGGGGGCTAACCGGATGGGGGGTAATCCGGATACTCCGTGAATCAGGAGCTAGCAAAGTATTCCTGGCCAGACCGGGGCGAAGCGGGATCGGGTTTCCATCCCGCTGGGATCCTAGGCCTCATGCCCGAGCACTGGCACAACGCGGACACCAACCTCCTGGCAGGGCCCTCGCATTTTCGCTTCGCAGTGCCGCCCGTGCGGTCCGTGAGGTGGTGGGCCGGGTCCGGCATGAGACGACCACCACTCCCGTCGCGGTCTCAGAGCGCAGAAAAAACTCCACGGCGCTTTTTGGTGATAAAGAGATGGGCAGCCAGGAACCTGGGCCTGCCGTCCAGGCGTGGCCTGGTTTAGCGGCGTGATTGCTAGTTGCCTGAAAGAACCTCAGCCAACAGAGGCATGCTGCGGATGGTTTGCCACATGCGCAGCCTGCAGCCACAGCCCGCAACCTTCAACTCTGCCATTGCGCATCATCCTGACGCATGTCATTTTTGTGGCAGGCAGTGCAAACTTTGTGTCCGAATTCGCAGGGCACCTTGCCCAACCGCAGCCGGGAACATCGACCCACCGCTGCCCAGGCTTGGGCTCGGGGGGGGGGTCGGGCCTGGAAAGAGGAGGTAAGGATGGCACGCGGCGAGGCTGACCCAGTTTTGACTGGCCGAGGGGGGCTGTGAGGATATCGTTTTTTCCCCCCCCGCTTTTTGCCGAGGGGGGGAGTCAAACGGAAAGCACACACTGTTTATTTATTGTATTATATTCCTTTTTTTTTTTTGAGGGGGGAGCACATCAGCTATGACTTGGCGGGCTGCTCCTGTTCGCAGCTGCAGGTGCTGCTCCGCGCTTCACGGCTGGTGGAGAAAGCCGCGGAGCGGGATGCTGCGGCGTGGCGCCCGAGATGCTTTGGTCGGATGCTTCTCGTGTCAAACTTGTTTCGGACCCCAAAGTAAGCAAGGCGCAAAACAATGAGCACACCCAAATGGCCCTCTAACCTGAAAAATTGGTTGCCGTTCGGTTGCCAAACGGCACCCGCTAATTGGGATTGCTCTCCCAGCTTGTTGACTCCAACTCTCGGTTAGCTTTGTCCCTGATATTGGGAGGCGGAGTTGGGGTGGACCTTGGAGGGTGGGAGGTGAGTGGGGTCGTGGCGTTTCCTCAGGAGCAGCAGCTGCGCACGAAGGCCGCGCCTCAGCCCGGGGCCAAAAGAGGCCATGTCCGCTCGTCCAGAGCTGGGTGGCGCGACGTCTGCATCCGTCGCGGGGGACCCCTCCGAAACGGATTTCTCGGTTTCACGGGTCGGCTTCCCTTGAAACGTGTGCACGAATTTTTGGTACCAAAAGGGGGCAACCCCCCAAAGGTGGAGCATGGGAGTTTGTTTCCCTTTCCTCGGGGTTTGAAGCTTTTTCACCCGACAGACCCTCAAGATGATGCAAGCCTTGTTGAGGTCTTAGTTTTTGGTAAGCGCCCGAGGTTGCGGAAGAACCAGGTCGTTGCGGAGGCTGGAGAATGGCAGAACACCATATATCACCGAAACACGAATTTGTTTGACGCCAAAATGAGAATTTTGATGGAGCTTCCCCCCCCCAAGAGATGAAACATATCAAACCTGAGAACATTTCAGCGTGTCTTCAATCCCCTCCCCTCTCCCCCCTTCAAGAGATAAAACGTATCAGACGTATGAACCAGCATGAGCAAATTTTGCTGGAGCTCCCTCTGCTTAGAATCCTGCCGGGTTCTCCAGGCCACCTTGCAGCGCTTCGCCGCCCTGGCGGAGTTCAGTTTGGTGGACATCACCCAGGAGTCCTCCAGCAGGAGTCGGGGGCCCAATTGACGCGACTGCGCTCCCAGCATGGCCTCCACGAAACATGGGCCCAAAGCAAAGCTGCGAATCTGGCTTGCTCCTAGCCAGTAAGGAATACCCCTTGGTTTGGTTTGGCTTGGATTTGATCTGAACCCCTGGTTCGAATGTATGTGGGACACCCTTCCCTGACCGCGAAAAAAAACACCCACTAGTAAGCTGAAGGCATTCGAAATGCACAGTGTCCATGTCCGACAGATGGCCGGGCGGCTTCTGTCCCGACTTCAGCTGTTGAGGTTACAAGTACAGCGGCGCCGTGTGCGGAGCTGAGCGCAAGCCCAACGTGTGGGCGTTGGGCGTGGAACAAGCGCTCATCTAGCAACTTGCTGGTGTGATAGGTAGGAAAGGAGAAATGGAATGAACGCAGGGTTCTTTTATAGGAAGCCACCTGTCGGATTGTGTTTTTCTTCTCAGGGTCGGACTGCATGTCTCCTTCCCTGCGTCTCTCGCGGCCAGTTTCGCGCCAGGCGCCGCGACTGTACGCTGTACCTGGTGCCCTTCAACGCCGACAGCGTGGGGATCTTCGACACCGCCCGCCGGACCCGCGGCCTCATCGTTCCCATGTCTCACTTTCCTCGGGCTTCCGGCAGTGCGTTTTCTCCGCTGGGGTGATCCATCTCATGGAAACAACTCCACGGTCGCCGCTGGTTCTGAGTTGTTTCCCTCCCAGAACCAGAGAGCCACCTGGGCAAGGCTCACAAACCACTGGGTCCGGTTGAGAGGTCTTCCATCTCACTGGGGTGCGGTGGAGAGGTTCATTTCCACCTCATCTTTCGAAGCCCGTGGTCGGGAAGCCCAGGAGCTTCCGCACCGTAAGCATCCCCAGCTCCTCGGAGTTCAAGTACTCCGCGGGCGCGGCTTGGCGCGGACGGGCCGGGGCGTGCGTCGGAAATGCGGTGGATGGTTGCGAAATCCATTTCGCCACCCACTGTGAGAGAATGAGAAACCATTGTTTGTTGGTATTTATAGGGACTCATCATGCCAGGGCTTTGTTCTGGTGCAGGATTTCGTTCATGCACAGGAGGATGCGGGTCGCCCCCCAACTCGTGGTTTTGCCTATGGCTGGTTTGATTGGGCAATGCCCCCTTCGGATGGGCGAGCGTATTTTTTTCCTCGAGTACCTGTCCAGGAGGTCAGACCCCTAGATTTTGATTGGGTGTGTGAGTTTTGTGGTGCCATTCTTATGGCAAGTGCGCAGTTGGTTTCCCCTTGGCACGGCATTGTTTGTTTTGGGGTGCTTCATCTATAGACCAGCCTTGCAAAGGGTGCCGAGCCTCAAAATGACCACAGAGAGTCAAGTTTTTCCGTGGCTATTGGACAGAGGTCATGGTGGGGGACGTGGCCTACTTCGTGCCTTATGCCGAGAGCCACATCGGCGTCTTTGACACGGCCACGGAACAGTTCCGTGCCTCGGGCGAGAGATCTGTTTGCCTTGTCCCCAGCAAAACGTTCTTTCGAGTTGACGTGGTGGCTCTCTTGGCGCATCTGTGATGCGGTTCCACCTTCACACTAACCTGCACCCCCACCCCATGCAGCCCCGAAACCGTACAAGGGGCGGAACCCCCCCCCCAGAAGTTCCTCGCGCGCTCCGCGCCTCCTTCGCCTTTTTCGCCTACGCCATTCGAGGGGCGCTGGACGTCTCCTGGGCCAGCTCGGCGGAGTGCAAGTACTCCGGGGCGCTGACAGCCTCCTCCGCCGTGTACTTTGTGCCCAGCAGCGCCGAGAACATAGGCCCGAGCGAGCCGCGACGCATAGGCGTCGCTGAGTTGGCTGTGGGTCAAAATCCCGCACCCCCAGTGAACATCCCAATCCCCACTAAAACAGGTTCTAAAATGGTTGGTGAATTCACCTACAGCGACCTTCCGAAATTCTAACCGTGGGAAGCACTGCTCTCCAGCGGCCTCGGTGGAAGTTAGGGAATTGGACCAAGGAGCAGTCGATGTCACGGAAGCGGCGCCAGGCGTGCTGGACCCCTCCTCGGAGGAGTTTCGCACCATCGGCCTGGGGCCGGGCGCGGATGCCAAGTGGAAGTACCATGGAGGGGCGCCCTGGCTGAATCGAATCCGCGCGCGCTTAACGCGACACGTTTCTTTCCTTCGGCCATGTTTCAAGGGGACTCATAAACAGCCGTCGGACAGAAAGCTGATGATGCCGGCGTTTCTGATTAGGTACATTTGCTGAACCGAGGTGATCTATGACGGGCGCTGCTACTTTGTGACTCTCACGCATTGAGCGGCTTCTCCTCCACTGAGATTTGCCTTAGCCCAGGCTCCGTACAACGCAGATCACATCGGAGTGCTGGACATTGCCTCCGAATCCTTCCACACCATCGACATTTCCCATGCCATAGAGAGGGATACCAAGTGCCTTGCCCAGTCTCTCCGGACCGGCGCAGAAACGAGTTTGGGATTTGGATTGTCGGCTTGGGGATTTGAAGTTTGCTTGCGAAACTTGCAGCCAATGAGGGAGCCACCCCCAAACGTCCAACACGCCAACCCAGGACTAAGCTGAATCTGGTGGTTTGACGAGTTCTCACGCAAAAACATGCAAAAACAGAAAAACAGAGAAACGGCAAGAGAACGCGCGAAACACCTACCCGTTCTTTCCCCCAATCGCGCAAAGCCATGCCCCGTTCTCTCTGAGGTTCTCGGACGCCTTCGCGCAGAAGGGCGTCGTCTACTTCGTGCCCTTCACCGCGGACGGCGTCGGCGCCTGGGACGTCGCCAGCCGCCGCTTCCGGCTGCTGGGCCTGGCGAACGGCGGCTTCGGCGGCTTCAAGTTCCTGGGCGCGGTGCAGGCGGGCGCCGGCGGGTCGGGGGGCGGGGGAGTTGCTAAAGCCGGGGGGTTTTGTGAGCCGGCAGGATCGGGCGCCGACTGGTTCGGGGCATGTCCAAATTTGGGCTTTGGAGGAGGGAGCGCTTCGGAGCTGGGAGTTCAAGGACCTGGTAGGGTGGGATTGCCTGCTTTCGAAAGGCGCGCCACCGGATCATTTGGATCAGGAACCGGGTTTTGGGCATGAATCCCACAGCAAGCCCCTTTTTCCGCTCCATGCCCCAAAAAAGGCCACGGGAGGTGCCTCTGACGGCCGCGATCGCGAGGTGGGGGCGCTGTCCTACTTCGTCCCGGACAGCGCGGACGGGGTGGGCGTGTTCCACGCGGCCACGCAGGGCTTTGCCTCCTACGCGGCGCGGCGAGTACGAGTCGGGCGTGAGGGAGCAGTGACGTTGAGCCAACGGGGTAGCTTCCTTCAAAAACGGGAGCCGGAGGTATCATGTTTCGGAGTTTTTCGGAGTTAAGAGCGTGGTAGCTCAGTCAAGGGTTTTTTTCGGAGCCGGCACGCTGGGCAACTGGCAGGATGGAACTTGAGCCAATGGCCAGTGTGGCACAAGGGGATCAGCCGCTGCTTTTGGGAGCCGAACTCCGTGCGCGCCCAGGATGTTTCTGCAAGGGTTTCGGCCGATTCGAAGCGCCTCGGACCGAATGCATTCGCCAGTTTCTCTGGCATGGGCAGACTCAGTTGTTTTTTTTGGGGGGGGGCTTTTTTTGGGGGGGGTCAGGGTGCCCGTGTTTGGTGTTAAACAGCAACAAAGAAGGAAAAGGCGCCATATTTAGTGGGACTTGGAACCGAGGTTCTCCGCGGGTTTGTTCTTCAATGGCGCCGTGTACCTTGTTCCGAGGACGCCAGCAGCAAATTTTCAGTGCGGTCGGACAAGTCTCGCCACGAATATTTGCAGGAATGCACACAGCATCGGCATCCTGCAGGCGGTTCGGGAAGTTTTGCTGAGCCTTCTCTTTCATGGATTCCACTGCCGCCAAAACTGCAACCCCCAGAAAGTAAGGAAAACAACGCTTTAATTTATATAGTTCCTAGTAGTGGCTGTGGCTGGAAATCCGCTTTTTTGCTCCCTTGGGGGACGGTGGCTTGGGGGTCGTGGACATCACGCCTCTTCGCCAGGTGAACCAAAGCCACGCGCACCACTGCCCCGCCGGCACCACGACTCAGGCGTGGGCCTCCGCTTTAGGCGAGTTCTCCGCTTTAGCGAGTTCTTGGCCTTGACTGCTACTGGGTTGGATCTTTAGACTTTAACTTTTTGGGAAATCAAGTTGGGTTTTCACTAAACCCCCGAAAGGTGATTCACTTTTTGCACAGAGGTCAACAGCAACCAAGTCGCGAGCGAAAACGCTGCGAGGTGCAGGTGGTGCTGGGGGATGCCGGAGACGCCGGAGACGGCTTGGGGCTGCTGCCGGATGGCGATGAGAGGCGCGGATGCACCCGGTTTTGCCGGGAAATGGGGGAAGATAAGGTAACATTTCAACCACCGAAAAGCAAGCCAACTCCAAATGATCATCAACATCATCAAAAACTAAAATCAAAACCAAATGATAGACTTAACAGCGAGAGCCATGAAACATGTATCACACAGACTCGACCTGAGCCGATGGAGCGCTCAATCGATCAGGTACTTCTCGGGTTCCGCTCTGCCGCTGCTGAGTTGGGAGGCCTTTCAGGCTCTGAAGTCATCGTCAGCCGTACTGGGGGTGGGGTGGGGGGAAGGCATGGCTGAGCTTGGTGATCAGCCATCCGGTTCCGGTTCCATCCGGTTTTGGACGGTTTAGTGGTTGGATTTCTATTTCATCCGCTGAAAGTTGAGAAGTTTGGTTTTGGGGGTCTGAGGACAGCCCAGCTAAGAAGTCGAGTTGCTTTGGTAAATTGCAATGCTCGCAGCGGATTGTTTGAAGCTTCGGTCGTGGATGTTCGGCCATTGCTCACTTGAAAACAGCCCCAAAAAGTCAACATAATAAATGAATGAATGAATGAATCGGAAGCACAGCTGGAGTGGGCCCGCCCTGAGGGAGTATGCAGACAAAAACACTACACACTCACAAAAAAAATAAATATATATATATATATCTATACAAGGGGACTGCAAAGTAGGAAGTAAGGTACTAGTGATTTCCATGAACTTGAAAGGGATTGTGGGTTGGCATAGGCACAAGTTGCCTCACGATCATGGTATCATGTTCCTTTTCTCGCCCCTGCGAAGTTTGTACCGGCCTGCCTTACGCCTTTCGACGCGGGAGGCCCTGGCGGTGATCTTGGCGGCGCTGCTCGCGGCGGAGCTCGCGCGGCGGGCGAAGGGCGAGTCGCTGGCCAGCTGCATCGTGGCCGGGGGGCCCGGTGGCCGGTCGCCCGGACGGGCCACGGCGGATTGAGTCAGTCGGTGTTTTTTCGGAGGGTGGCTTGCGCAAGGTGTTTTCTTTTTGCTTTCTTCGGACCCACGGCTCAGTTGGGTTTATGTTGTTGTTTTCTTTGTTTGGGGTTTTTGTTCGGAGCATGTCCGCTTGTTCCGCTTGTTTTTGGCACTCGCGGCGTCCGAGGCGGCGCTCCTGCCCACAGTGCTGTACTTCGTGGCCCGGGGCCTCCTGGACTTGGCGTGGCCTCTCCCGGCGCCCTTCTGGGCCCGGCGCTCGAAGTCGCCTGGCGCGCGTCCGGGTCTCCTCGGCCAGGTCTCGAGACGCCATGGCCTTGGCTCAGGTGCAGATGCTGCCGGCCAGCGCCTCCTTCCTACTCTTCTGGCTCCTCTTCCAGGTGCGCGGATTCTTTCGCCGCATGCGTGTTACAGGTGCCTTGCGCATGCCAGGCAGTGCTTCTTTGGCCGTCAGCAAACTCTGAAGACTCAAGTGCCAGGCGTCGGCGCACGCGTCTTGTGTGTGTGTGTGTGTGGGTGGTTGGGTGGCCTGTGCGTGTGTGAGGGCGTGCGTGGCCTGGTCAGCCAAAACAACTCACCGTCTAGGCTGGACTGGGTGGACCTGCTTGCTTGCATGGCCGGTCTGGCGGCAGCAGATGCGGCCAACGCCTACGCGCAGCCCGACACGGGCAGATCCCAGGCTCTTTGGCGCTGAGTCCCGGGGAAATCTCGCGTGGGTAGGGGCGAATTCATCAGGGGTCCCACCAGTTCGGAGCGGCTGAGGTCTAAAGATGTACAATGGTGTGTTCATGTGTGTTCCTTCTCTCCTTCAAATTGGCCCAACAGTCGGGCCCCTTGCCGTTGACGCAGTTTTAGCACACTTGTGCAAGACACAGTTGCTTCTGCCCAAATGGTTATCGCCCATCTCAAATGGGGTTTGGAGGCTGTTTTCGCCCAATCAAAGCCACATAGGCCTGCACATTGCCTCAATCGTTGTCAGGTGGGCCCTGCAGAATTCTGCCACTTCCAGTCCAGGTGTCCTTTGAATGCGTTGCTGACAGTTTGCTGGTTCGTGGAATTGTGAGCTTAATGCACGCATTCTGTTCGGACAGGGCTTGGAGAGTTTGGCGCTTCATGGGTGCAACTGTCGGGCCCTGATTCCATGTGGGTTCGTTCCTTTTGTTTGGTTTCTGTTTTGTTTTTGTTTATTTTTTGGCGGGGAGAACTTTGCAAGATGATGGCTTTCCTTTACCACACAATCGGCGCCCCTCAAAACGACGAGCCATGTGTACCTGGAGCGACCGACCGACAAGTTGCGCCGGAGGCTGCCGTGCTGGCAGTTGCTTCGGCTTTACTGTGGGGCCTCGATAGCTTCACAGGCCGGCGTTCGACCTGCGCCGGGTTCCCATTAAAGCCGCAGGAGAAGGGGTAACCTCGAAAAAGACAAATGATTTGTTGGTTTGTTTTTGGGTGTGCTCCCGGCCTGTCTTGGAGCAGAGCCAAGCGGTTTGGGCTATGGTTTGATGTTTGGCTAGATCTTTAGGCACTTCCTTATATACTCCCACACACACAGTTCAAAAAAGAAAACTTTTCAAGGCACCCTGTCAGGTGTGGGTACCTCCCACCCAAAAATAAACATAGAACTCACCACACGGCCCCTTCAAAAGGAACGCACGTCTTGGGTTCCACGCGCTTCGGCGGGGAGATCTCGGCCGCAGGCTCCGACTCGAAACTCCGGCGCTCCCCGGCGCTGGTGCTGCCACTCGCCTTGCTGGCGCTGGAGGCGCGGCGGAAAATGTTGGAACCGCGGCGGCGTGTCTTGGAATGGAACCCACCCAAAAGGGGGGGGGCGGTTCTTTTGGGAGACCCGCAAAAAACACGAGAGAAAAAGGGGGGGCCCTGAAAGAAAGAGAGAGAAACCCAAACAGGGTTCCCTATAGATTTGGTGTTGTTTTTCTTCTCTCCGATGTTTCCAATAGTTACGATCCATATTGATTGGGGCACCCTCAAAAAAGACACCCGGGAGGAAAAGGACCTTCAGAACCTGCTTGGGAACGGGTCATTCCCATGTTGACAAACAAACTCGAGTCTTACACGGCTGACCTATGTGATGAAGCCTTTGGCTTGCTTCACTCTTCTTGGCAAGTTTTTTTGTTTTTCTGTTTTTGGGTTCTGTTCATTTGTAGTAGGCCGGAGAAAAAAGAGGAAAAGAACAAGAGCGAGCTTTGTGCTCCCATACAAAGGGTCGTGAAACGTTTCGCCTTGGTCCGCGCGCCCGGCGCTTCTCGTCCAGGTGCTGAGCCGGGCTGTGCTGGGCTTCCTGGATATCGAGGTCTTGGACCAAGAGGGCTACCTGCAGGAGACCGGAAGTCCGGAAGCCGAAAGCGGAATGCCGGGGTGATGTATTTTTTTCCGCCTCTGGGATGGTAGTCTTGTTTATGGGTTGGTTTAAAGGGAAAAGAACAGGGAAACTCGCCATGTTTTAATTTTTTGGGGGGGGGTTGAAGTGAAAGAGAGGGCAAACTCGCCATTTGGTTGGAGCTACCCTAGAACAGACACAGCCACACGGTTGGCCGTCCTGAGCAACAGGACGGGCTGAGCCATGGTGTTCCTGGAGTGGGCACCTTGCTTGCATCGGGCGCGTGTCGGAACATGGAATTTTCACTGGCTGACATGGAATTTTCACAGCATAACCCCAGTTCTTTAGTTTTAAGCCACACCCATATTTTTGCAGTTCTGCATCTTGAGGTTCCGGGCTGCTGCTGGCTGGTCTCAGCGTGCTGCTGCTGGCGGTTGGCTTGGCGCTGCCGGGCGAGGCGCGGGAACTGGCGAAGGGACTGCGTGGGTGGCGGTTGGGGCGGTTGGCGCTCGCAAGTCATTTGCACCGAAAAGCCGCGAGTGCCAGAGGTTCCCTGTATCTTCCCCCCGTTTTTGGCGAGGCCCCCTGGTTCTTGTTCTCCATTTGGCGGTAAAGCGACCTCATCTCTTTGGCCGACCGCCCCCCTGCGACTCCAGGCGGAGCGCGCGGTGGCGGTGGCCGTCGCCACGGCCGCGTTGGCAGCGCTGCGGGCGGCGAGGTGTCCGAAACGGGAAGCGACGCATGCGGCTGTGGTCAAAACCGTTTTGGGTCAGAACATTTCACCGGGGGAACAAAAAAGCGGGAGAGACAGTTGGCCATGGTTCAAAACCAATGGTGGTTTCCATTTTGGGCTGGTAGGTGAATTAACTCACCGCCCATTTTAGATCCCATTTTCGTGGGGATTGGTGGATGTTCACGGGGGGTATGATTTGGAATTTGACCCATGGCCACGTGGCTATTTGTGAAATATTCGACCAGAAGACGGATCTTAATCCCTGGTTCCCGTATCCAGGGTTCTATGTCGGGGCTTTTGGTTTCGCAAGTTTGCCCCCCACTATGTCAGGTTCGCCTTTTGGCGCCTTGGATTGGTGATTTGGATTTGGATCTGAGGTTTTAGCGGGTGCCATCCGAACCACAAACATGTGTCCGTTTGGTTGCTTTCAGTTGAGCCAAAAGGAAACCACCTTGGAGGGTTCCGAGTCCCATTTTCAGAGCCGCCCGCGCGTGCGAGGTGGCTGGCGAAGAGCTTTGGCCTGCGCCCCGACGAAGGCCCAGCGGAGCTGGCGGTTCCGCATCGTAGGGGCACGGGCCTCTCAAATGGCGGGCATCAGGTTTTTTAAACAACAAAACAATAAAACATTAAACACAAATGAAAAAATAAGGATGTCATCCGAATGATGTCACTTTGAGTCTAATTGGAAGGTAGAAGAACTTGTTGGAGTTAGAGTTGTAAATAGTGTCATCCGGACTTATCAGTTGGGAGTGCCTCAAAATATGGAGACTCACAAGAACTGTGGTTTTCCCCTTCAGACGTGCCCCGGGCACCCTCACCAAAAGTCGGTTTCGATTGGCCGCGCGTCGCAGCTTGGGTTTTTCTCAGGGCACGAGCTGATCTTCGCGGTGGTGATGACCGCCTTGGCGGACTTGGCACTGATGGGCTTGCAGAAGATGCTGGCACGCACCAGGCAACGGACGGACTGCCGGGAGGTGTGTTTCTTTTTGGGGTGGTGGGGGGGTGTCTCAAAAAAGGCTGTGGAACCTCAAACGTGGGTGGCTTTCCTTTTGCTTTCCCTTTTAAAACCCAGTTGCGCCAGTTCATTTGCTGGCTTCTGCGCCAACCTCCAATTGGCCTGCCTGACACCGCTGAACCTCCCAACCCAAGCAACAGGAACGACCGCCCCTTCCAACCGGCCAGAACCCCAACAGAGCCTACCTCAAGCCCAACAGGAAGGCCACCGCCCCACCGAAAAGAACCAGGAACCCTAGCCGCCAGGTCCGGGATCTCGGCGGAGCAGCTGGGGCCACATGGCCTGGGCCTGGCGCTGGGCCTCGCCTGGGCCAGCCGCCTGCTGCGCGCCTGCGCCGCGCTGGCGCCCAACCCCAGCCCCTGGGCGCCCGGACCTCGGCTCGGCCTCGGACAAAGGAGAGAGGGAAAAGGAGACAAATGAGATAGACAAAGATACAACAATATGTACACAGAGAAGGGGAGAGAAAGATAGATAGACAAAGATGTTGAATTTATAACAATACATATATATATATATATTATATATATATAAATGTGCTGCAAACAGGTGGGGCTTGGGGGAGGGGGGGGTGCCATATTGATGTGTAGATAGATTCAAAAGAAACAGGATAGATGGATGGAGTGTCTGGACTTTCAAAGTTGTGTATATTGTTGTTTCTTTTGTCATGTGTGGGAAGGCCCTTCCTGGGATCTTGTCTCAAGTTCCCCTTCTGTTTGTCTTACCATTAAAGCAACCCCAAGAAGGGTACCCAAGCTCGGGCCAGGTTTAATGCCAGCTGGGGCCCGTAGGATGTATCCGAGAAGGAGCTTGACGGGATGCCATTTGTTCCATAGCCCCATATGGAAGACCAGATGCATGGCTCACTTTTGGAGAGTTGTTTGTAGCATTTTCCCCTGGTCGTTCGGGCCATCATTCAATGCGCGGGCAACGGGAGGGGAGAAGAGCGGGCTAAGGCTGTTGCTGGCCCTTCTCGTGGCCTTGTTGATGCTTTGGATCCTGGCGCAGCCACGCAAAGGCCGATCCCTGCGATCCGTGTGTTCGGTGGTTTTTCCCGGCCGAGTTCGAAGATGGGATTTGTTTGCCAGGCCAAGGCTACAGCCAGGTGAAGGTACAGCCGAAGGTCAAGGATCGCTGCCCCGACGCAGGACGCGATCGGAGCTTTACCCGTGAAGTGGTTTGGATTGGTGGCCTGGATTCGGAAAGCCCCTCCGAAGGGTGAATGGGAAGCTACTCCAAAGCCAACATGTCCACCCCCCCTAACCCCAACAAAAAGAAGAAGGGAGCTGACGTCAAGCAGGCGCCGGGGGGAGGCCAGCGGCGTTGGTCCCTAGGACATTTGCGGCTCTACCGTGGCATCGAGGCCGCGCCCGTGCTGTGCCCTCCGCAGCTGTCGCACGGCGAAGGCGAGTGGGAGGATTGAAGAAGGCGACTCACTCCCAAGTACAACCCGGCATTTCTCGACCCGCCCTTTTTCGGTTTAGTGGGACTTCTCTGAACACAGACACTCTTGTAGCGAGAATTTCCACCTCAACGCCTACGAGGGGGGGGGTGAAGCCACGCGGCGCCTTTGTGAGGCGGCGAGCTCCAGCCGGGCCCGCGGCTGTGCCTGGAGGAGCCGGGGCTGTCGCTCTTCGTGGACCTCTGAGGGTCGTCTGAGAGGTCGTTGGAGCGTCCCAGAGGAGCCCGCGGTTGGTTTCCTTTTCGGGTGCCCTGAAAAATGGGAAACAATCCGAATCCTGCAAGAAATCCAAGTTTTTTTCTGGAAATGTCCAAGATCCAAAGAGGGAAACAGAGGGAACCCACCCCCAAAAACAGAGACCAGGGAAAAGTAGCTCGGGAATTCGATGCGGAGAACAATGCTTGTGGTGGATGTGTGCCGGGACAAAGGGCCCGCTACGACCTTGGCCGCCCTCCAAGAGGTGCGGCCGAGATTCGATGCGCGGCCGCAATCGCCAGAGACCAATTCGATCGCCAAAGTGCAGGGGCCAAGGCTCAAACGCAGCCAGCTTGGGGAAAACAGAGCCAGCGTGAGCCGGCCTTTTCCGGCGCGTTCGCATGCAAGCGCGTGGCCAAGTGTGATGTTCTTCAAGGTTATCTTAAATTGCCTCAGGACTTTCGACACCACTAGAGAGAGAGAGGGAGAGAGAGGGAGAAGCCTGGAGAGACAGAAAGCAAGAGAGACAGAGAGAGAGAGCGAGAGAGAGAGAGAGAGAGAGAGAGCGAGAGTGTCTTGAGCAGGCAAATGAGAAACCTGTTTGATGGCAATCTTCACTGAAATCTGGGATGCAGTGGCAAGCTCAACAGCAAAAGAGGCGCAGCATTTCCCAGCTGCTTAGTGCCCCGGCGCGCGGGCCGTCACCGCCATGCCGAAGAAGGCGCGCGGGAGATGGCGTGCGAGAGACGGCTCGCAATATTTCGCCATGATCAAAGTCACGCCCTAAGTAGTAGGTTAAAGGGAACCAACCGATTTGATTTTCTGACTCTAACCCCCAGAAAACCGACAAAAGAATGACCTCAGCTCCTTTCCTAGGGCAAGAAGGCCGCCAACGCTGTGGCGGAGGTTTCCTCCAAGACCGACGCGGCGCTGCCCCGAGAAAGAAAACCGAGAGGTCCGCTCCGAATGCGTCGGCGTCGTTGTTTGTTGTCGGCTGAGTTGCGCACCACGGCGGAGAGTCTCATGAAGCAGCTGGAGGGCCAGGCGCCTCCGCGGCAAACCCCAAAAAAGAAAAAGCAGGGGGGGGGCACTTGTTTGGGACATGTCTGAAGCAAAGTTCTTCAGGTGGCTGTGGGTCAAAACCAATGGTACCATTTTGGGATAGGTGCACCACCCATGTTAGTCTATTTTATATAGTGGGGATTGGGATGTTCACTGGGGGTATGATTTGGATTTTGACCCATGGCCAGGTGGAGAACCTCACGAAGATGGCCGAGGAGCACCTGGACAAGGGCATGCGCTCCCAGCTCGGCTGCTCGCTGCATGGCATCGCAGAGCGGCTCTTGCGCCCGCGCCAGGCTGGGGCACCACGCGGAGGCCCTCAAGATGCGGGACAGCGCCGCGGCGACTTTGCAGGACGATTTCTCATGGTTGTTGTTAGGACACATTTTCCATTTTTGCTTATTGTGGTTTAGTGGGAAATCCCCACTTAACTGCTAAAATCTAGATTTTTGCTCCCAACCCAACGTCAACCAAGCTTTGCTCGACTTGTGTGCCACCTGTCGCCAGGACTTCCGGAAGAGGTGGGGCCTGGCAGGCGCGACTGGCCGGCTTCACGCGCTTTGATTCGCGTTCCCGGGTTCTTGTCTCAGGCGAGCCCGAGAGCGAGCCCTCAACCTTCGCCTCAGCTGGTGAGATCGAGCCCAAGGCTTGGGTCGCGGCTCAAATGATTCTATCCGAGCCTCAATCGGGGCTGGAAATCAATGTGGCTTAGGGCAAGGTTCGCCGTTGCATGCGGGTCTTGATTGTGTGACTTACTTGCTTGTTTCGTTATGCCCATTTACCTTGTTCGGATACTGACATGAACGGGTCAGGTGTTACTTTATCGTGCCACTCTATGGATCTTGTTGGATGTATGGATCTAGTGTTGCCTCCAGACTGAAACAACAGTCCTATCATTGGCGGATGTTACCCTCCAAACGTGGTCTGAATCCCAGCTAAAAGGGGACACCCCGCAATGCAAACCAACCAGGGGTTCTACTTTGATCTGGGGTCAACATTCGCATCATATGGGGGTTCCCCTTTTCCAGGGGTACCCTCCCATCCACTAACATGGAATCCGTGAGAGGGTCCTAAACTTCAGGAGCATGTGCATGGTCAGGATCAGTTCCGAAACCTCAGGTTCCAACTTGAATGAGCAGCAGGGTAGCCTTTCTTAAAGTGGTTGTAGGGGACCTTGATTGCTCTAGACTGCTTTTCTTTTTGCGGACCCAGGTCCGTTTCATTGGAAAGAGGGCCGAGAAAAAAAGTTTCTGTTTTTTTAGCAAAGCAACAACATTTGTTTCTTCTTTGCTTGCCTCGGATTTTTCTTTTTCATTCTGAGACCCCAGGCGGAACACCGAAAAATGTCAGCGGCGCCCAGCGCTTCTCCCCCACCGCTTGCCGCGCCAGAAGCCGGAGAATGGTAGCCGGGGCCTGGGGCTCAAGCAGCTTGGGGTTGGGCAGGGGGCGTTTTTTCTCCAGGAACTTTAGCCCCAAAAGCCAGCAGCGGTGACTGCAAGTTGGCTCTCTAGGGAACCCCTTCAAAAGGGCAGCCGCAGGATTAATTGTTCCATTTCTTGGTTGGTCGGTGGGGGGCTCGGGTCGATTTGTGAAGTTGCGATTTGTATCACCGGCGCCAAGAAACCGGAATCTCTTAGACCCCCCCCCCCCCCCCGCCCCCCCCTCGGGTTGACCTAGCGACGGCTTCTTAGCGCCCACGCCGCTCAGGCGCCGATCGGCTGGACGCCAAAGATCTGCCGCAGTACCGCTGGGTGAGCGGCAGCCCAAGGCTTTGACGCAGAAGTTCGAGGGGAACCTTCTTTCCTGTTTCCTTGTTCCAGGGGTACAAATGATTTTCCTTGTTTCTAGGTACCAATTCCATTCTTTCCAGGGATCCGAATCTTTTCAGGACAACTTTAAAAACAACCAGGGAAACAGCCGGTTTTTGAGAAGAATGGGGGATCAACCCCTGGAAAAATGAAGGACGTCCAGCTACGGTGAGTTTGCATCGGAATTGTGGGATCACTCGGGGTTTGTCCAACCACTTCTGTGATACTTTTGGGAATCTCTGCCTTCATATGGGGGTTGAACGTCTTTGGGAAGCTTTTTTTTGTTTGTGTCACAGTGGGTTCCATTTCCCGCAGCCCTGGTTTGCATGGCTACTCCTTCATCGGCTGACTCCTTAAAAAGCCGAAGCGTTGTGTAAGGAAAGGGGAGAAATCTCTGGTCTCTGCATTCAGTGCTGTCTCATCAGGTTGAAAAAATAGAAACTAACAACTCCCAGGCCTATCCTTTTGGGCATTCACCTCAGGTCATTCTGTGTCCTCAGGCGACTGCGTCCACCAATTAGAGATCGAAGATCCAGCAGCAGCAGTGGCCACAGTGCGGTTCAACGGCCTGCGCGTTCCACGTCGCTCGAGTCGTTCGAAGGCGGATGAGACTCCGGAGGTTGTCGGGCTCAGAGAAAGATCGAAAGCCAAAGCAAAGCGCGTTGGAGTTGTGGAAAGCGGCATCAGGACATCTCCGAAGCATCCGTGCGGTGCAGCCGCCGCCCCAAGAAAAAGAAGAAACAAAAGCAGGTGCTGTTCCGCCTTGCTTGCAGGCGGATTTGTTTCTCAAAAAAAAGAAGCGAAACATCCGGACGGCTTTTGTTTTGGTGGGTGAAAGGAAGCCACAAAAAGGAGACCCGCGCCGTTCGGGGGGGAAATATGGACCCGTGGGAACTGGAGCCCTTCTCAGGCTGGGCGCGCAGCGGCTGGGTGCTCGCGGCTCAGCTCGGCTCAGAGGTTCCGCAGGTCGTCCCATTTTGGGCGGAACCTGAGGCTTCGGGGGGGTGGGAGAAGAGCATGTTCCTTTAAAATGGGGGGAGTGAAGGGGGCGCCCGTTCTCTTTTTTTTGTTGAGCCACATGGAGCCACATGGTAAGTCACCGGAAGCCACAGCGGGAGAGGGCGACCGTACCGCGAGGCTCACCTTGCCGGTGGGTCAGATGGACCAGGCCGCGTGCAAGGTGCTCCGCAGGCGCCGGACTCGACAGAAACGCCGACGCGACGCCGACTGGACGCCGACTGGACGCGAGGCGGCGGCAGCGGCGCCTGGAGCCTGTGGCCTGGAGCATCCCATGGTGTAGGTTGCCATTTGGTTCTTGATGCTCCTTCCAAGTTTTGTTGGGGGGCTTCTCCAGCTGGAGCAATGCAATTCTCCAGCTGTTTAAACCTCCTTCCAGTTTCTTGTGAACATATTTCTCCCAGCTCGCCGCTTTTTCCGGGCTTGCCTGTGAGCCTCAAGGCTGCAGCTGCCGGCGTCTGTGGCCCCGCGGCTGGAGCTCAACCCGCAGGGCGGGGCTGGGGGCTGGGGGTGCATCGATCCAGACGCCTCACAGACTCGCAGGCTTCGGCTGGGTGGACGCCTTCCTGGCGGGCGAAGAGGCCGATGCCGCCCGGACTCCCAAGGAAGCGGGAGGTCGCGCGGAGTTTGGATGGGGTGGGGATGGGGGGGATGGGGGATGGGGGATGGGGGGTGAGGGGGTGGTTAGGGGGGTCGGTCTGGCTGGGACTGAGGTGCGGCAGCGCATCCTGGAGCTGTGGCAGAGCGGGCAACTGCAGCAGGGCGAGGCCAGGGGAGCGAAGAACGGGGAGCGAATGCCAGCGCTGGGCAGGTGGAGGGCGGCCTCAAGGAAAGCGTCCGCTCAGATGAATACCTCTTCATGGAGGTGGGTTTGGACACGTCCCAACTCCTGACTCTCCTGACTCCTTCTTTTCGCAAGGACGGCGACCCGGCGGTCTCCATGTTCACTCGCCGGCTGGACCGGCTGGCTCGGGGGCGCAGAAATCCTGTGACGCGTGTGGCATGCCATGCTTTTGGCTTCACTTCATTTTACTTCAGTGTAAAAGGTGAGGAAGAGAGCCAAATGTAGACTGACCCATACACCTGGATGAATTGGAGTAAGACTTGAGCGAAACGAAGTAAATGTCGACCCCCGGTTTCTCGATCCACCTGTCGGATGGAGGTGTTCCCAGGAAGGATCCCCTCGACACACCGGTGAGTGAGGGGGCACCTGAGGTCCTCGCCATGGCCAAGGAGGCGGCAGTTCAGGGCAGATCGAATCGATATCTTCCGAAGCGGATTCCCACCGATGCAATGAAAGCAGACGTGACACACACACACGCATTAATGTGTGTGTGTGTGACATGGTGTCAATATACTTATATATATATATATGTATATATATGCACACGCACACACACACATATATAGCTGTATTTATATATATATATATATTAGTATTAATATATATATATATATATGTATATACATAAATGCACAGGTACAGATCAAATTCCCAGGTGGCCCGCTGGTTAGAAGAATCTCCGCATCAGGTGCCGGAGCTCAAAGATCTGTGGCTGATGCGGGGCAGCCCCATGGCCGCTGCCCGGACCTCACCGCGTCGGACCCGTCAGATGGGGTCGTTAGAGTTTGTGGTTTCGAATCGGTGTGTGTTGTTTTTTTTGTTTTTGTTTTTTTTTTTGTGTGTGTTTTGTGTTGGTTTTGATAGGTTAGTTGTTGTTAGGTTGGTTTTGTTAGATGTTCGAGTCAAAAGCCGACACTGCGATGAATAAGTTATGCCGGGAACCAACCTGGGGTGACAAAGGGTTCTCGACCATCCGGTCCATTCACACGCCAAGGCAGTTTTTCAGATTACTTGAGACTCCTGGGTCTTGACGGCAAAATTGGAAACCACCCCCAGAACTTACCACAAAACCAAGCCACCAATTAGAGGGAAGCTGAGTTTTTGTTTTGCTCTCGGCTTGTATAGGTTTGGTTTGTATGGGTATCACTTGTATCATAGAGCAACGGGGGGGGGGGGGGGAGCCTAAGGCTCCCGGAGGAACCCAGACAACCCTAAGGAAGGTAAGGAATCCTGAGGCTCGCAAGTACCCACCCCCCGTTGTACCTACCCCTCGAGACTCCACATGGGAAACACTTTACGTTGTTGCTTATTGTGTTTTAGTGGGAAATCCCCACTGAACTGCTAAAAATCTATTTTTTTGCTCCCCTTCCAACGTCAACCAAGTCCATAGCTCCCGACCTCAGGTCTACGCCGGCGCGGGCTCACGGTACAGGCCCCACTTCGACTGCGTGGGTGGCGACAACGGCCGGAAAATCACTTGCATCCTGCCGGGGGCTCTCTGCACTATTATCCGCAGCGTGCGTGTGTGTGTGTGTGTGTGGCACGTTTTGTGGCGGTGTTTTGCTCTTAGACTTGCTGCTTCTCGATCATCCTTTTCCTTTTCCACAAGCCGAAGGGCCATTCCCTCCTCAAAAAGGGCACCCCTCCCCCCATAAAAAGAAAAAAACGCAGCAACAACAAAAAGCAAAAAACGAAAACAGACGCGTGAACCTCACAACAGGCCGGCGTCAGCTTCGCCTCAACTTCGGCCGGGGAAGTCGAAGCGGCTGGAGATGCCGAGGTACTTGAACCCCTTCTGGCAGCCCGGCCACGGCGGGGAGCTGCAGCTCTTCCCCGAGGCTCGATTTTTCGCGGGGCCCTTTTTTCGGCTTCGGCCGGCCGGTTTTTCCGCGTTTTTTTTTGGCGGGGTGGGGGGGTAGGGATCCCGAAACAAAACGGACACCCTGGATCGCCGTTTTTCCATGAACTTCACCCCAAGAACCAGCAAGAGTGACCGAAAAAGGCGGCAGCTTGGCTACCTAGGACGTTTATTTTGGGCCGGGCCCCCGGAATTCTGGGAAGGCCGCGCCGACTTCCGACTTCCGAATGCGTGCGGCCAGGCCAGGGGCATCATGGCGGAGGGGCCCGCGCAAGAGGCGCGCGGCTTTGGGAAGGGAGCGGAGTGTTGGCCTCTCCCAACGCGTGTCGGCTCGTAGCCCACAACAGGAGGACATCCCCGAAATATCCCGCAATATCCCGAAATGATGAACTGGGCCTGTCTTTTTCATTCTTTGGTACCCCTCTTTCTCGGTTTCTACCCCCCCCCAAAAAAAAAGAAAAAGAGAAGAGTAAACACACAAAAAAAAAAAAAAAAAAAACAAGACGGAAACCCGAAAACGAAATCTTCTCCTCAAACTTGGGGGGCTCCGACCTCCAAAACGGCCGCGGCACCCGCCACCCGGGGACTCGCTCGCGCCGCGCGTTGGAGGTGGAGCCGCTCCACGGGCGGCTGGCCTGCTTCCTCTGCGACAGCAGGCGCTGCAAGAGAAAAGCGGGGGCCCTCCCTTCCCCTTCTTGGGTGTGCGGGTGGCTGTGTTATTTATTTGTCTATGCATTTATTTATTTATGTATCTTTGTTCTTTTTCGTTTCGTTCCCTGATGTGTTTCGGCTGGTTCTGGCAAGGAATTTCTAGTGCCCATGGCTTGGATCAAAGGCCTGCGGCTTTTCCAAGCCCGGAAATCTCGTTGCGGCCGTGTCAGACTCGTTGCTTTGCGAAGTCTTCACCTGCCTAGCACCCCCCTGGGTGTTCCAAAGCCGGGTAAGACGACGCTCAGCGCATCGCAGGAACCTGCATGCTGCGCAGGCCTCAGGTTAGCTTCCGTACGCCTTTCACTCGGGTTGGTTGATCAGGCTCTGGTTGGTTTGGATTGGTCGCTTGGGGGCTTGAGAGCGCCTTTTGAAACCAGAGGAAGGTTTGCCCGAATTTGCCCAAACCAAGCCAAAGGTTCGGGTAAGTCAGAACCCTGGCATCCATTTGCTTAAGAATAGTTCTTATTCTCCCTTGCTAGTTTTAAAGGGAATTTATCACTACTGGAAATAGTTTTTTCCCCAGGGGGCTTAAGCAAATGGAAGCTGGACAAGAAGCCAAATCAAGGAGCGAGTCAGATGGACATGGACGGCAGGGCTTTGTTCAGTCCAAGGTGAAGCCAGTGACCGACCATGCCAATGTGCAGCCTCGTGTCGCTGTCTCCTGCCGGGCCCTCGATGCTGACGGTTTGGTGGGGCGGGGTGCGGTTGATCAATTTTGCCGCGCTGAGTTGGACTTATTAATTGATCTTTTAAGTGGTGGTCCATGGTGTTCCGCAACGGTCGTCCCATGCAAAGGACATGTTGGTCAACCCCCCATGTGAACATGCCTCACTTCCCACATGCGCCGTCTAGTACAAGGGCCTTGGCTCTCGCCAAGCCCGCTTGCACCCGGCCTTTCGCGTTTCGGCCGGCAGGTACATTCCCCCCATCAGGAAATAACGCCAACCTGGTGGTAGCCGGATTGACCAGATCAGTCCATTGCTTTGCAGCAACCTCGCGGAGCGAGGGTTGAGTGGAATGCAAGAATAGCCATTCGATTCCCCGATCCAGTCTGCGCTTCGGCGCGCGCAAAGCGGGCGCCTCGACGCCATGGCAAGAAGCAGCGACGATGTGGGGGACGGGTCAACCCAAAAGTCCCATGGTTCGGTTTCACAGCCCCCTCAAGTGGTTGGACCTGATCCAAAGCGAATTTGGATATCCAAAAAGAGATGACCTCGGCCCAACCCCCCCCCACACCCTGGCAGGACCGCGCTCTGAGCTTCTGGGAGGCTCATCGTGCCTTGGCCTCCGCCTATGAGACGGACCTGGCGCAGCTCCAGGCTCCATCGACGACTCGAGCCGACTTCAAAGGTCTGGAGAGATGGTTATGGGTTGCATAACCTCTGGCCCTATTTTGGGGATGAACATCCACGTGCCACCTATTTTGATGTTCACCAGGGGTTTTGACCCACGGCCAGATCTTTTTGGACTTCGGAAAACCGACCGAAGTCCCCCAAGTTCGGGATGCCCTTGAGTCCTGTGAGTGGTTTCTCCCGGACATCCCTAGCCGTGAAGCAGTCATTTCAAGCCCATGCCGTGGGAGCTGTGCGGCCTTGAAATCAAGATGTTCGATGTCAGAATGCGACGGCCGGCTGTCGGCGGTGTCAGGATCAGAAGGTCCAGTTGCAGATCCCGCGGCAGGTGGGGGAGACTTGGGCCCTGATGCCAAGGTGGCAATGTCAATGTTGGCTTTTTGTTTCACAGCCCGATGGCTTGTGACCAAAGAAAACTTAGTTGTTGAAAGTTCCTTGGCTGTTTATAGACAACCCACGGTTTTCGGTTTCAGGGCTCTCAAAACCAAGTGCTTTGAGCCAACGCACTCCCAGATTTGTTTTTTTTCTCGAAGGCGAGCACCAGCTTACTGGATTTGGACGCGTGCTTGCGGCGCGACAGCTCCGCCCTCCGCGGCGGAGCCACCCCGCCCTCCGCGTCCATGTCCATGTCCCCCAGCGTCATCCCGCGGACCTCCCTCCGCCTGAACTCCTTCGAGGTGTCCAAAAGTCAAATGAGTCGGGGAAAAGCATGTTGTATATGTGTCAGTGTAAGGCATGAATTCCCAGTCGTTTGGGACCTATCACATTAGCTGCACCGCCAATTTAATTAAATCAGATGGAGCCGGTTTCATTTTTGGGCCCATGGTGCAACGGCACATCCCACCCCCAGCCAAAAGACGGGCCCAAAAAGAAGCTTCAAGAGTTTAGCCCGCGGCCACGCGACTACCGGCCGCGCGACTACCGCGCCGACGGAAAAGAACCCCTGCAGGAGTGCAGCGTCTCCCCCAGGCCCTCGCTGATGAGCATGATGTTGGATGGCTTTCTGGTGGAGGAGCAGAAGGCGCGGGCGCTGGGCTTGCAGATCAGGCAGCGTCTGGAGCCGCGAGCTGGCGCGGAGCCGCTCGGATGAGAAACCAACCGGAGGGCGCTGAGGGCGGTGGGCTCTTTTTTTTTGGTTTGTTTTTGCGCGGTGAGCTTGCACCAGGCCATGAATTTAAACAATTGGAACCCCCTGCAAAGTGGCTGGTGGACATATATATATATATAAACACATAAATGATGTCCACCAGACGGTGTCTAATTAAAATTGAAGAACCATCCTCTACCCACGTCCAGTTTAAAGTTCGTCTCAACTGGCCGGGGCCCGCAAGCCACTGTCTTTTGTCGAGTTCGTTGCTCCATCCGTTGGTGTGTAAGGAGTGGAGGGTGGAACCCTTGTCCCCCTTCACTGATTCACTGTTCTTGGCATGTTGTTTAGCTTCTTAGTATGTTGGTTCTGTTCATTTTGACTGGGCGGGGGCCAAAAAAGTGTTTTGCTACCAAGAGTAGAGCTTCCCGTGTCGTTTTCCTCGCCCCGGGTACCAACAGCTCCTAGAGGAAGACTCGTGAGGTCCTCGCTGAAGCTCATGCACGCGCTCTCTCACCATTCAGACTCCCAGTCTGAGGATCCTGGGGGAGGGGGGAGGTGGCGGCTGGCATGTCGGTGATTTGCGATTGTTTCTGGGGATCTGTGGCTTCAGGACGCACACGTAGCCTGCCATGGCATCAGGTCTCACGTTGTCTCCTATGCTGCTTTCGTGGCAGAAAGAATGCACATCGGCAAACGCGAAAGCAGCACCAGGATCCTTCACGCTGCGGCTGGCTAGACTTAGTACCCCCTAGAAATCAACGTGAAGAACCCCAGCGGCACGTGAGTCAACCTAGCTCTCCGCTTTACGCGGGCCTGGCCGAGAATTCACATGGCCGTGTTGAGAAAAAGTCGGACCCCCCCCCTCTCCCCCCGGAAATGGGTTTCCTTGTAAACCAGCGACCAAGGGTCGACCCGTTTGTGGAATGCTTGGCTGAACCAGTGAGTCTCATACAATAGGTTTAGCTCCACACTGCTCTCGGGCAGGTCCGTTTCATTGGATTCTTGAACAGCCATTTTCTGTTTGCCTCGGATGTAGCATTCAATAACCTCAGATAACATTTGGACAACCCAGCCTGGCAACTTGTGCCTTGTTTGCTTTGCTATCAAGCAAGCTTTAGCGTTTTGCTCTGGCAAGATTCAAGATCCAAAAAACAACATTTGCTCTCTTTCCCACTGGCCGAGTGCAAAAACAAGGGCACCCCACGAATGGATTTCGGTTTTCCCCTGGGTTTCCACTGCAAGCCACTCAAAAGGGGCACCGACTCAGAGAAAGCAACCTGGCAACCTGCAGGAGATGGAGGATTGCCTGGAGCCACGGATTTGCTGGCAGCAGGACGTCAGCTTCCCTCCGCGCAAACTTTCGGCGACGGCCACTGCTAGTATCGCGGTGCCAGACGCTCGGCTGCCGGGTTTGGCCCCTGCCTGGCGAATCCTTCGCCCGGCGCCCCGTGAGAACCACCAAAAAAGCCAACGTCGACGCATTCAACCTTCGGATTGGCACAGGATAGGTCTGGCCTCCCCAACTTCTACACCTTTGAGCGTCAGGTTTCTTGACCGATCGGTCTGGCCCCCTCCCCAACTTCTCTGCACATTCGACTTGTCAAGAATTCTGTGACCCAGGAGAAGTCTCAGAGAGTCTGGATGTTGTCCCCGGCGTCGCGCGCCCGGGTCCGCTGGGATCTGCTGGCGGTGCTGATGGTCCTGGTGGAGCTCTTGGTCTTTCCGGCGCAGGTCTTCTCAGACACATGGCCCCAGCAGGCGGGCCTGGCTCAAACGACACGGATGTGTGGTGGGCTTCCCCCCAAGAGAACCCAAGAGGCTCTCTCCCCCCTCCCCCGCCCCCCCCCCCAAAAAAAAGAACAAAGAAAAAGAAAGAAGCAAAGAAGCAATACACCGATCCAGAACGGCTCAAATCATATCGGCCGAGGTGTGGCCGGAATTTGCGCTGCTGTCGCTGACGTTTTGGAGCTGCGACATCTCCTTGAACTTCCTCACGGGCTTCCACTCGGGGGGGGAGCTGGTGCTGAATGCCTCGGACATCGCCAAGAAATACCTCAGGGGATGGTTCTTCTTCGATCTGCTCTTCGTAGCTCGGCACCTTTGAGCGGAATTGCCCCCAAAGGTTCAAATGGAAGCCGAAAGGGGAACAACTCAAAATACATGGCTTCTCAAATCATCCTACAGCTTCAATCCAATCCATCCAGTGGGTGTTTGTTTTTACCCTCTCACCGACTAACCTGGAGCGCACAGACCTGGAAAGACAAAAGTATTTCGGTGGGAGCTTCGTAAAAATGGCCATGGCTCAAAACCCCGTACCCCCAGTGAACACCCCAATCCCCACTAAAATAGGTTCTAAAATGGATGGTGAATTCACCTATCCCAAGATGGAAATTACCATTGGTTTTGAAGCATGGCCAAATGTCTCTCCCGCTTTTTTTTCTCCCGGTGGGAGGTTCGTAACAAAAAGCAGTTCTACCCTCTTGGAAGGGTTTCCTCCCACCTCCATGGTGGGAGGTTTTCGTTAGAAAAACAAGTACCTCCCCGTGGTTTGATTTTTGGTGAGCTCGGCTTTTTTCCGGTGGGAGGTGGCGTCGGACCTGGCGGCGCTCTGTGCGGGGCTGGGCTCGGCGCCGCGAGAGCTCTGGGTGGCGCTGCGCTCCGCGCAGCTGGTGCTGCGCTTGGGGCGGCTCATGCAGCTGGGGAAGATGACGGCCCCACGGCGTTCCAGAGATGTGTTTTTTGGGGAAAACGGCGGGGGAAGACAACCCCGAGAGGAAGGGGCCCGGGAATATATAAATATGTTTTTGGCGTGGTTTGCTCTTTCTGGTGGAAACACGCGGGGAAGGACAGAGTTTTGGGGAAACACGCGAAGGAAGACCGGAAGACCCGGGGGGTGGGGGGGGGAGAACGGACCCGGAAACATGTATGCATGTTTTTTTTGTGGTTGGTTTTTGTTTGCCGGAACGCGGGGAAGACGTTCTGCCGACGAACCGGTCTGGGGTTGTTTCCCATTTACCCTCTACAGGAATTGGGGATTCAAAGCCGAAACCCCAAGCGACCAATCCAACTAGGGGTAAGGTGAAAAGAGATGAAAAGGTCCGGGGAAGCCGCGGGCGGGTTGGATTTCTTTGGCAGAGACCCAATCCGAACAATCCAAGGCTCGCTCCCCTTTTCTCCAAGTGGTGGAACAGCGTGACACGGTTTTTGTCATTTCCGGGTTTGAGGATGGGAAGCCCTCAGTTTTGTAGGGCCCCCCCCCCCCCAAAAAAAAAAAAGAGAGAGGAGAAGCCCGGAACAGGAAGCGGAGTTTTAGGTGAGGAACACGCAGCGAGTTTGTGCGCAAGCATCCGTGCTGGACTAAAACAGGTCGTCGGTGGCCGGGAGAGAGGCGAGTTTTGGCCACTCCCCTCGTCTCAGGAGTGCCTGAAGCGCCGCCTGGTGAACGACGTCTCCATCGCCAAGCTGGACATCGGACTGCGCCTGGGCAGCCATGGCCAGGGGCGCGAGGCCACGGGAGCGTTCGGCGCGTGTGAAGCACACCGGGGGGTTGGGGGGGGGAGGGATCCGTCTGAGGATTGTGATGCAGATCTTCACGACGCAGCACTTGGTGGCATGTGCCTGGTACGACCTGGGCATCATGAACGAGCGGGGTTGGGTCGCCCACTGGCAGCTGCAGGGAAGGTCGAAAGAATTTCAGTACCTCACAGCGCTCCATTGGACGCGCCTGGGGCTGAACTTAGGCTCCGCTCGCATGACCCCTGCGGGCAGAAACCAATCAAACCATTCAAAAGGCCCCGAGGTTTGACACAGCTGCACAGTTTTCTGCATTTGGAGTTTTCTCAAAATACAGGAATCGGTCATTCCCCCAAATGGCCTCTTGGAAAAAGCACGCCATATTGAGAACCCCCCCCCAAGAGTGCAAGTTTTAAAGTACCAAACAAGAATGCCACCCAGCAAAACGAAAACAACCCATCCCCCTAAAAGGGGTGAGTTCTTCAATAAACCAAAAATCAAAATGCCAACCGACAAGCAGAAACCGTTTGGTTCTCCCAAAGCGAAGGGTTCCCAGTGAGGTACTGCCAGCTGGGCTTCGGGGGCACGGAGATCGAGCCCTCCACCGCCGCGGAGAGGACCCGTTTTCTCGGCTCGACGTGGCGGGTTCGTTTCTTTCCGCTTTGGGGGGGGGGGGGGGGGCGGCTCGGACTTTTTCGGAAACCACACGGCTCTTTGGACAGGACTGAAGGTTTTCGGAGACCTCTTCGTTTTTCCTTTTGGGCAAGTCCCATTTTTTTGAGTGGACTGCTGGAGCACCAGCCCAGCGACTTTTTTGTGTTTTTTTGTAACTCGAAGCCGGTGTTTCGAGCCCGATCGAGCGAGAGGTGAGTTTGTCTCAAAGGGATCCCTTCTCCCAAGTTGGTTTCCCTTTGGCACTTTAAAAACAAAAGAGATACGAAGAAACAACCACTATAAAAAGGATATGAAGAAAGAGACACCCACCTCCATCCGCCAAGAGCTCCTCCAGCTCTCACAGGGTGCGTCGCGGAGGCTCCACTTTTGGCCATCCCTTCCTTAAAAAATACTTCGCTTCGAGCAATCCCCACCCTCCACACTCACGATCTTACGACCGCTACACCAAATTCCTCCGCATCCTAAAGACTTCGTCGGCCCTTTTGGACATTAAGCAAAAGCAGGACGAGCCGCTCCGGCTCGATACTGGCCGGATACTCGGCAGGATCCACCGGCAAGGAATACTCAGCGGGATACTCGGCAAGACCCACTGGTGAGCTACTCTGGGTTATTCAGCGGGATACTCGGCGGGATCCACTGGCGGCTGCTGGTGGGATACTCGGCGAAATCCACTGGCGAGCTACTGGATACCCGGCAGGATCCACTGGCAAGCTACTCTGGCATACTCAGCAGGATGCTTGGCGGGAGTTACTGGCGGGCTGCTCTGGTGGGATACTCGGCGGCGTGCTTGGCGGGATCCACTGGCGAGCTACTCTGGAATACTCAGCGGGATGTTCGGCGGGATCCACTGCCGGCTGCTCTGGTGGGATACCCGGCAGGATCCACTGGCGAGCCGCTCTGGCAGGATTCGGCGGGATCCACTGGCGAGCCGCTTTGGCGGGATCCACTGGCGAGCGGGATACTCAGCGGGATCCACTGGCGAGCCGCTCTGGCGGGATACTCGGCGGGATCTACTGGCGAGCAGATCTGGCGGGATACTGGGCGGGATCCACTGGCGAACAGCTCTGGCGGGATACTCGGCGGGATCCACTGGCGAGCTGCTCTGGCGGGATGCTCGGCGGGATCCACTGGCGAGCTGCTATGGCGGGATACTGGGTGGGGGCGTGGTGTAGAAGCATCGCAAACGCAGATGCCAACATAAAATCTAACAACCCCTTCCTGTCGGGTGGGGAAAAACCATAAAGTCCAAGCAGCCAGGGTTCCGCAAGTTTCGCTGTAGCCAAGCTACGCTTTCGGCACCATCTTCTCACAGAAGCCACACCATTTCGTTTTTTGTTTTAAGCATCTCCTCAGAGAAACCACGCCCGGATTTTCTTTGAGTTCATCCCCAGCCCTTGGTTTTGGGCTTTGGGGCCCCGAAACGTTGCCCCAAAACGTCCGAGTCAACCCCCAGCGTCGGATGGCGAGGATCTTCGGACTTCTCGTGGCCTTCATGGCGCTGGGGATCTTCTCCACGCTGCTGGGCGCCTCGGAGGCTTCGGCTTCGGCTGCGGGATTCGTCAGCTTTTCTCTGGAGGTGCGCCCTGGGGTCCCTCCCGATTGTTTGTTGTTGGCGTTCTTTCTCTTCTATCTCTTCTTTCCTTTTTTTTCCGGGGGCGGGGGGGGGGGGCCGGGGGCGCGGGTGGCGTTGTTTTGTTCCTGCATTCCCAGCATAGCACCTGAGGGAGGGTGCCTACTCTATCTTGTGTCAGTTGCTGTGGTGGGAGTGAGTGGGTATCTCTCCACAAAAAGCGCACCAGTGGTTCTTTTCCTGGTAACACATGTCTGTGGGTCAAAGCCAATGGTACCATTTTGGGGTAGGTGCACCACCCATTTTAGTGCATTTCAGTGGGGATTGGGATGTTCACTGGGGGAACAGGGTTTTGACCCATGGCCACATGTTTTCACCATCCATCCGAGGCAGCGTCACGGGCTTGTCCGGGCTGTTGAACAAGTCCAGCGAGGAGAAGCGCTTCCTCTTCGTCACCTTGCGCCGGTTCCTGGAGCACAACCGCATCCACGAGGACGGGAGTGACAAAATAAGCGCGCATCACAAACTGGGATTTGGTCTTTGGTGTGACCAAGTCGCCCCTTCCATTTTTGGAACACAACAACGGCTTATGAAGGTGTTCCATTAAAGCCACACACGTTTAGACCTGTTTGGCCGGCAGCAAATGGGACTCCTGGTGCTTGGTTGCGAAGAACAAGCCATGCCGCTCAAAGGGAACGACCGGAGACCCCGCTTCCGTTAGGATCTGAAGGAGCGCATCACCTGCTTCCTGGAGCACGCGTACTCGTTGAACAAGAAAAACATGACGGAGGACACGCTTGGCAAGTTTCAATCAGGAACACCGGTCAAAGCTGATTGCCAGACATAACTCCCTGTTGCTTGATGTCCACCAGAAGGTCTTACCCCTGGCCCCCCTTTACAAAGTCCATCCTCCACCCTCCCCCGACAAAAAACAGAGCAACAAACACAAGACACAAAGCGCACGTGGCTGGTTTGTGGTTTCTCGCATCGGCCCCAAGTTGCTTCTCCGGATGTGATTCCGCGCGGCATGCGCGCAGGACCAGGTGCAGCTCTTGGAACTGCTGTCGGTGCCTTTGCATCGGGAGCTGCAGAGGGCCAGGTACGACTTCAGCCTTAAGGACCGGCGCTCGGGATCCTTTCATCGCTCGGATGGGGAAGGGTGGGCCGGTTTTGGTCCATCCCTGTTTTCGAAGGCGCGACGAGGTTTTTGGTGGGGGGGAGAAAGGGACATGGAAGCGAAAACGGACATCCGCATGTGGTGTTTGAGAGGCGTCCCCTAAAAAGAGACGCACCTGAAGGGTACATGGGGCCGGCGAATCTCCCTGAAGGTGGGGCAAAAGTATTCATGCCTCCGGTGACCCAAGTCTGATCCACTCAAAGATGATCTCCCTTTGGGACATTCTGGGCTGAGACCATCTCAGGCTGAGAGGAGTGGCCTTTTTTTGGACCGCAGGAGCTGGGCCTTCTGCGGAACTCGCTGGGCAGGAGCGGCGCTCAGCTCTCCAAAAGTCGCTGTCGGAGTGGCTTCCCTAAGGTACACAGCCCAAGAAACCACTCAGGTCCCACCAGGTTCTTTTCGCCTCAAAAACAAAAAGCAACAGCCAGCCTAATTTCCCCCAAGAATTAAATAATTTTTTTCATATACGACTCTCTCCTCGGTCCCCTCCTTTTTCGTTTTTCTCTCCGGGCCGCTCCCCTCCGACCTCGGCATCACTCGAGTCCGGGACCTCCGAGCTCGGCCGAGCGCCTCGTCTCAGGGAGGCGCGGCTGCAGCTGATCCAACGCCTGGCCTCGCGCGCGGTGACGCAGCAGAAGTTCCCGGCCAGCGATTTGGTCTGGGAGCCCGGGGCCGTGGCCAGCGAGGCATCCGGAGGATCCGGGATCAAACGCGGGAGGGGAGGGGAGGGGAGGGGAGGGGAGGGGAGGGGAGGGGAGGGGAGGGGAGGGGAGGGCAGTGGTTGGGGTTGGTCGTGGTGAGTTGCGGTTGGGTGGCCTTGAGGTCCGAGGCTTAATTGAGGAGAGGGGGGAGGGCAGTGGTTGGCAAGCGGCAGGGGTGCGGCTCCGAGCCAGTTCCAACTCTGGTGGCTTACCTCAAGTGGGTTGTCCCTTTTTTATTTTTGGGTTGCCTCAAGCGGGTTCTCAGTTTTCAATGAAAACCCCAAGAGCAAAAGGAGATGAACTTTGGCTTTGGGGTCAGAATCTAGCCAGCCCCTAGGTGCACATAAATCCTGAGACTTGAAATTCGTTTGAAGCCTGTTCTTTGGCGTTCCCCATGTGAGCCACGTGCTCAAAACTCGGGCAAGTGGTTAGTAAGGGACGATCGCCATAAACAGTCGGCCGCCTTCTTGTAGCATTCTAGGTCGACCGTTTTTGTACCGAGTTTTGATTGTGACTCATGTTCTTTTTTGGGTAACAGTGTCCGTTCACCCCTTTTTTGGGTGTTTGCGTTCCCCGACTAAAAATAGACTACAGCAAAATAGGGTAGCAACTTACTCTATAGCCTCTTTACTGGAGGACCTAGTGACCGCCGGACCGCCAAACTTGGGTTAAATGCCTGGTTTTGAAAAGAATGGCTGAAAAGAATTTGGGGGGTTCCCCACCAGAAGCTTCTTCGGGTAATTCAAAGGTTGGGTTCGCAGGCGGTGTTCCTGATGAGCGGGAGCCTGAAATACAGCCTGGGCGTGGACTGGAGCATCACCAGCCAGCGCTGGCTGGCGGAGATGTGCCTGTGGACCGGAGACGTCAAAAAATCGCCCCGTTTTTCGCTTCCCCCCTGCCTTTTTCTTGACACGGGGAAACCGAAAGGAAGACCCACTTTCTGTTCTTTCCTCTTTTTTTTGGGGGGGGGGCTAGAAAAACAGCAGAGGCCAACAGAGGTTCCCTTTTCGGATGGCTTTGAGGGGGGTGCCAAAAGCGCACCCACCTACAGGTCTCGATTTTTCGAGAAACGCCCATGTCAGTGTCGAATTCCATCTTGCTAAGCACATGATTTCCATCTAGGTCGCAGACCTCTTCCAATTTGTTCCTGCCCTCTGGTTATCTCTGGTTTCCTTTTTTCTCCGGCTTCCCTCCAAAGCCCCGAAGGCCACGAAGGCAAACCACAAAAACGCCCCCGGGCACAGACGCGTGCCAGGACTCCCTGGAGCTATGTGGGGGAGATGGCAACCCAGGCCGAAACATGTCCCGGGAAAAAACCTGAGGTCCATGTTTGGGATAAGGCAGGAACTCAAGTGGGAAACCAGGAGATTGAACCTGGACATCCAGAAGGGCTCTGCTCTGTGGTTCCCCACCGCCTGTGTTTTCAAACAAGCATCTGGGCCAGGAGCTGTTTTTTTTTGGCTGTCGCCCCAACTTACATTCGGACCGTTAGCGTGGCCTGAAGACACAGCTGTCGGCTACCAGAGATACTCATCGCTTAGGAACTTGCGGGGGAATGAGCCGACGCGAAAGAACGGGTTGGTCCCGCAACCAAAAGCCAAAAATGCAAACATTTCTGTTGCTCAGGGGGTGGGGTCCTACTACCTGGCAGCAGATCGAAGCGCTATCTCAAAACCCTTGAGCCTCGTTGCTGGCCCAATGACACTGTCGTGTTTTTTTGAGGCTCGGTGCCCTTTTGTCAATGGCGTGAAAAGGAGACCAACAGCACAACCGCTTTGTGGGTCCCATTCCTTCTTTCTAGGGAACCCACCCCCCCTTAAACAAGGGAACCTCCCCCCCCAAAAAAAAGAGAGACAAAGAAACAACAAAAGCCCCCCTGAAGCAAGGGAACCAAAGAAAGAAAGAAAGGAAGAAAGGAAGAAAGACAGAATCAACAACGCAACAAAAAAGACCCCCCTCCCCCCCCCCCCCCCACAAAAAAAAAGAAAGGAAGAAAGAGCCGCTGCCCGCCCGAGCGGGCGCCGGATTTTGTTCTCCTCGAGGCCACCACGAATTTGGTGAAGCTCAACGCGCGTCAGTTCTTCGAGGCCCTGCGGGATCTCCACGAGCTCCGCGGCGCCCAGAGCTACGCCCAGGAGTACGTCTCGGCGGGGCCCGCGGGAGCGGGCGTGGGCGAGATCCGGGCTTCCGGAGACGGGGAACGGACGGGGGACGGAGACGGAGAGGGAGGGCGTGGAAAAGGTTGAGAAAACGACGGGGGGAAGGCTGGGGCGTGAGAACACATGTGTTTGCTGCATGGGGGAGGACCTCTTCTCTGGTGCTGTTTGGAGGGCGAGAAGGAAGAAGTCCGTTTGGTGGGAATTCCTGAAGAAAAGCATCGGGGTGTCAACCGATCCGGATTAAAATTGACCCCTCCCGGTGGAATTTTCATCCCGGAGGTTGATCCAGTTCATCCCGACTTGCCTTGACAGTTGAGACGTCCAGAAACAGGGAAAAGGGGTTGCCTTCTTCCCTCCACCCCCGAACCAACAGAAAAAAACAAAAACAAAAAAAGTATTTTTTGCCAAGGCCATGAACAACTTTGCTGCGGTCACAGATTTGTGGGAGGGCCCTATGGACATCGTAGATCCCACGATGAGCGGGTCACTGCGGGGGCAGCAGCTGCTGCGGGAGAAGGCGCGCGGCATGTTCCAGTGGCTGCAGCCACTGCGTTGGAGCAAGGTAGTGCCCACTACTCCTTAGAGCGGAGAGCGGGAGGAGCGCAGATGCGCTCAAGAAATGGGTGTGGCTCAAAAAATAGGTACCCAAGAAGGGTTGCCCTGGTAAATGAACACATTGACTACAAGCAGCAGGATCAGCAGGTCCATCCTGGTGGTTCAAGATATCTTGACCCATACCCCAAATGGGCCACGGGCTGAAACTGGGCCATGGCCTGATGATGATTCTCATGTGCGACTTCGCCGAAGGGCGCTCGCTCAGGACGCTCCTTTTTGCTTGCTTGTTGCTCGCACGCTCCATTTTAGAGAGCCCGTTTCCGGCTTCGTTTTTGGCCTGTCCTTGTACAGCTTCTCCGGGCTTTGGCCCCGTTGCGAAGACGAAAGACCCCAAAGGGGACCTCAGCGTTCCATGGTGCCGGGGACATCCCTCCGGTGGTTTGCGGCCTGTGCCGTGGGGAAGGGCCATGTGCAAGCGGGCGCGAAACTTCTCTTGCCCGGTATGCTTTGGTCGAGGGCATTCTTAAACTCCGAGGGCCCCAAATGCCCCCGGAACCCTCCGCAAAACAAGCCCGAACCTCGAATTTCGAGCGCCATTCTCCCCGTCGTGTTTCACCCAGATCGGCGCCATGCGGCGAGCCGCAGCGGTTTTTTTTTCTCCGCGGTTCACCGCCGCTCCGCGGTTGACGGCGCTTTAGACTCCGACGCCAAGTTCATGAAAAGACCGCGTGGCCGTGGTTTGCCTTTTCCATTGTTGGTGGGATGAAGCAGCTGGTAGTGTAGAAGCCCTTGTCAAGGGAGTCTGTTCAATTCAGTTCAAAAGGCAAGCTTCACAGGGCTTGCGCTGCGGACATTTCGTGAAAAGGCACCCCGTTTCAGTTCGCAAGGCTGGTACTACGACTCCGAGGCTGCAAGGGAGTCAACTGTTTTCGGGGGCATGTACTTTTATCATAGCATGGTTGCTCATTGCCATGGCCAATGCGCCATTTGGCTCAAGCTATTCGTTCCGGCAATACGCCCTGCTACTTCGTCGCCACGGACAAAACGGCATCGTGCCACGTCTCGCTCTCGGGGAACCGCGCGGGCCGTGTGCTGGTGGTTGGTCCTGTTGGCGGAGGTAGGTCGGGGATTGTAATTGGGAACGGCGCGCAATTGGTTTGCTTTGCTTGCTTCGCTGCTTTGTTTGCCTGCCTGGTTTGCTGCTTTGTGCTCGCTTTCGCTTGTCTCTGCCCTTGCTGGGTTCATTCATCTTTTGGTAAAAGGCACCCTGTTTGGTTCGTTTGTTGTGCCAGCCGGGGGCACCGCTTTGCCCTTGGGACTGGGGGACTTAAACAATCTCTTCTTGTTGGTGGGATTGGGCCTGTTTATTCTCTCCCGAAATACTGTTTCAAACCCTTTCGCAGGTTATCAGCCGTAGGATTCGTCCTCGGTTGGCACCGCGAACCCCATTTAATAACAACCCTGCAGGCGCCGTTTTCCATAGGCTACTGTAGGACTCATGGCGGGAATCACAGAGGATGGACCTCATGTGGTGACCGATGAGTGGGTTCTCGGCCAGGCCGGAATCTTGGACGTTGTGAATGACGACCAAGTGCCCGGACAGCCGATGTTTTCCGGTCCTGACTTTTTGTCGGACCACACTTTTTCAGAAGCAATGCCTTCAGGAAGGTCCAGTGCTACTCGCACTGATGATCTATCGTCTAATGCCTCAAGAGCTAATCGCTCTCAGGGTCATGGGGCTAATCGTCCTGACCATGATGATTCCGTCTCAGGACGTGATGATGACGAGCCCGGTATTGCACCTGGAGCTCAATCCTCATCTTTCCCGGAGCTGATGAATATTGGTCAGTCCGAGTTTCGTGACTCTCGAAGTAGCAGTAGACGTGTGCCAACCAGTAACATAGCTTTTCAAGTGCTCGGTAATCCCGAAGCTCGTACATCCAGTGGAGTTGCATTTGACGTTCATCTGCCGACCGAATCCGGTGGGCTCGATTGGAGAGCCTCATGGCCCAACGACGGAAACATTTTTGGTATGGATTTTGCCGCATGGATGCCAGGGCCACCCGCCCCGTCATCTTTCCCGCAATTCCAAAGCCCAAAACGGGCTGCTGGAAGCGATGAATTCATGCTACCTTTGTCGATTGAGAATCTCAATCCTGACGTGGCCAGCCGTAACGTCAGGCCAAGGCCGTCGGTAAACCCGACCATGAGGAACATGTCCCCTCCCCCAGGACTTTCAGGATTTGAGAGCCCTAGGGAGCGTAATATCGTAGATAGATTGGATTTGCATCCCAGTCCAACCCCAAGCAAACAATCAAGGTCAAATTCGACTGGATCGTATAGGGCAAGGGGGATGGATCGGGAAACTGCCCACAGGGGTAACCCCAGTGCGCGGGACTCAGGACGCGGTCGATCAGGCGATCCCGCGTCGATTGTCGGTAGGGATCCGCTAAACGCGGACACGTTGATTAACGTGCTTGATGGGATCGAAGCATTCCAGGAGGAATTCAATAGGTCGAGTGGCCCGAATGTACAGCCTGTTCGCCCTACGCCCAAAGCGGCTTCCTTTCTCGCCGCTGACAACACAGACGGAGCTGATGTTCCGATTGAGTCTGAGTCCATGATGGCATCAAGTTCCAATCACAACAACACTGTCAGCAGCGCTACCGATGTTGAATCAATGTCTGAGTCTAGAGCGTCCAATGCGACTGATTTGCATGACGTTGTCATTGCTGATATGAAGCCTGAAGTTCCTATGCGGACTGATGGGCCGGTAATTCCCAAATTGTTTGTGACAAAGGGTCTAGGCATGCCACAGCCATCAGTTGTTCGTGATGCCAGAAGATCTGCACCGTATCAGAGTCAGTCTCCGAATCGGAGCGAATTCCCACGGCCATCAACGGCGGTACAAGATGATTTCAGGACACCTCCGAGATCTAATCCGATCATGGTTGATTTGTCCACTCCTCGAGATCGTGGATCAGGGTTTGGTCCTGCGAGTGAGGAGCAACCCAACGAGGTTGCTGATCTTGTAACTGCCCTTGAAAGAGGGAGAGTGGACTCTTCGGTAAGTGCGATTATTCATCGCCTGGTTGCTAAGGTCGAAGACCTTGGGCGTAGGAATGATAGAAGTGATCAATGCATCAAGCAGCTTTCCACTGAGGTTAACTCGTGGAGGGCCAAATACGACCAATGCGTCCATGTGAGTAGCACGTGTACGCAGGCTGCGAACGCGGCCATGCAGCTGTCACAAGGGACTAAGGACATCGTGACCGAGCTTGGCCAACGCGTCAAGATCGTCTCCAATCGCATGATAAGCATAGGCGATGCCATAAATGAGCGAGCCAGCTATGATGATGTTGCTCGCTCCATCACCCAGGTTCAAACTGTTTTTGAATCTCTTTCTGATCGAGTAACCGGGCTTATAGCTCGTGTTGATATGATCGAGAGATCTCTAGTGGAGAGCCAATCCAACCATCCTGCGATTGGTGGAGTAAACCTCAAAATCGAGGACTTGTCCACTAGGGTATGTCAGATTGATAGGATGATGCAAGATGTTGAACAATGCTGGACCAATAATAGGGACGGCATAAAGTGGGTTAAAGACCAACTTTATGAGACACAAGCCAACCTTGAGATAAAGTCGAGGGACTGCAAGTCATACACGGACAAGCAAAATATTCATAACATGGCCGCTTCGACTACGCTCAACAGTAAGCTCGAGCAAATGCTCGAGGTGCTGGGTAATACGGCCCAGAGAATTAACTCCCTCGAGTCAAGGCACTCGAATCAGGCATCAAGTAGTGGATTGAACGATCGCACAGGGGGAAGGCGTGCCGCGTCCCGTACTCCGGATAAGCGGCCACCTCCACCTGCCTCCTGATGATGATCCTCCACCACCTCCTCCTCCAGATCGGCAAAGCCCAGGAGGAGGGGGGAAGAAGAGTGCTGCCGGTGGGAACCCTGGCGACCCTGGTAAACCCAGGTGTAAATACGTAGGTGATGGTTATAATCACCTCATGGCTGAGTTTCACTGCAAGGGATGTAGAGGTGATATTTGTGAGTATTGCTTCTCGTTTAAAGAGAACCTGTGTGAAAAATGTTCCCGTAACGGACCCCGATGCGGAGTCTGTAGGGAGAGCTCGTTCCTGACCAAGGGAATTGAGTGTCAGTTTTGTAAAACCTACTACTGCACCAGACATTCTGCTGGGCAGGACGACTACAGGAGATTTGGATTTGTCCAGGGTCCCTGTTGTCTTGCGTGCCTTAGGGACGAAACTAGGAGAAGAAGGGATCCCGATGGTAACCGTGTCAGGAATAGATCGCCTGGAGGCGTACCTGAGACGAACCCGACGCGGTCGTTCTCGCCGCCTCTGCGGCCACCCGTTGACAGATTCCGTGACACTCCAACCGGGGTTCAACCTAACGCGGCTGACCTTCAGAGTCCTCCGAAGGCAACGCAATCCGTGCCCCTGGATAAACGTGAAACCGGATATTATCCAGGATTTGATCCCAACGGTACAAGGCCGAAGGATCCTTCAGGCCTTGAGCCGCCGACCATGCGTGGCCCCGATCCTCCTGACAAGAAATGTCGGATGTGTGATCGGGATATTCCTGACCCCAGCAAAATTGAGGAATGTAAGATATGCATGAAAAGGGCATGTGAGATTTGCATTCCGAAGGCTACTCGCCTTTGTCCTGTATGTGCATTATCAATCGGTAGTTCTCAGGTTCCACAGCATCTTTTCGGAACTGGTGGCGGCGGGTACAGTAGCCACCATGATCCGAACTGTACAGCTGCGACTAAGTGCATTCCCATAGACCTCCCGCCAGAGCCCGACGCGGCTGGGCTGAGGGTATGGATAGCCAATATGAAGGAAGCTGTTAGCAATGCCTACAGCTATGATGGACTTTACGTCATCAATTGGCTAACTGAAGTCGAGAAGGCAAAGACCTTTGATGAGCTGGACGGGGAATGTAAATACCACATCCTTGAAGCCAGGTTCAATGCAGCCATTCGGAAGTGCA